GTTTTTGATCTTTTAATGATTTGACAAGTTTGTTAGCTTTTTGTTGGTAAGTAAATGTAGGATCGCATCTGAGACGCTCGTAATAGGTCCGATCCATCAGAATTTCGTTTGATTTTTGAATGTATGTATCTTTAGACATAATAACTGTCACATTCCCTTTATCGGCCCTAGAAACGACCAACTCAGCGTGATCCTTAAAAAATTTTTTTGTCTTTTTTAACAAAATGTCTATATAGCTACGCTTTGCCGGTTGTTTTAAAAAATTAGTCAATACATTAGTAAACTTAGCTCTTACAGTATTTTTTGCGTTCTCTGGTACAACTTTAATTATAGTTTCTACATCAGCAATTAAACGTTTGACTGAGATTTCATTGCATCTTGGTGGCACGGCAAATTTCGAACCTAAAGAGAGAAACCTCAAGACATCATCCGGGACCTCAACCTCTGAAATATTCTTAACCCAATTATCTTGTGTTTTGATTGTTAAGTGATGCTGTTGCGACTTCAAGTTTTGAAATTTGTTTATGTTCTTTTTTTTGATGGTTTTGAATTTTTTATCACATGACCCTTATTGTCTTTTACCAAATTCGTCAACAACATCACCCGGAATCAATGTCAAAACTTTCTCTCTTACTTGTTTCAGTGATTTTTCTATACGATTGATAGTTGAAATAGTGAGTGATATTTCTAAATTAATTAATTTGTTATTCAACCTGGTAAAAGATCTTTTATTGATGGCCTCAGTGTGATCTACTCTAATGTCTTAACTTTACAACCAACCGTCAATCGAATTGCGTTTGCTGATAATAGTGTCGTCACAATGTAATTATAATTTAGAAAAATAGTCCCAAGCCTCTATACATTAGGGCCTTGTAAGCAAAAAGGAGGTAACAAAAAGGGGAAAAAAAAAAGAAAGGAAAAAAACTGGACGGCTGGCGGTGGTCATACTAATAAAACCTTTCCATCATTTGCGTTTTGCGGATGAAGTAAAATTCGTTTAAATAAAATGTAATAACAATTTCGTCTAGATGGCTGCCCTCGGTTATAATAATTAACGGTCGTATTTGATTCTTTCTGTTATCCGGATGAGTTTGGTGTTGGCCTATAATGGCACTGTAGCAGTAAGTACTTTAACTATAAGACTTTAGTATTAAATAACTAAGAGCCGCTTTCATGTTGTAGCCCCTGAAGAAGAAAATAAACATTTTCGAAAGCTTGGTGTAGCACAAAAGCCTTTTATTTGAGCCCTCATCAGGACCGATACCCCAATTAACTAAAATTTGTTATATATATATATATATATATATATATATATATATATATATATATATATATATATATATATATATATGTATATATATATATATATATATATATATATATATATATATATACATATATTATTTTTATATTTTTTCCGAATTTGTGCGTGTAAATCCGCGCAAAGCTTTTTTTTTCATAAACGCATAGGTTTAAACTCCATGAAAAATGCAAAATAAAGTCAAAATCACCAAAGATGACTCTCAAATGTGTAAATAAAACATATGGGATAATAAATATCGCACAGGATATTTCTGAAAAAAAAGGAAATAATGGCTCATTTCTTTTCTCATTTCTCCATCGCAAGTAATTGCAGATGAAAGTTAGGCCCAAATACAGTTTTTAAAAATGCCAATGGTCAATTTGTTAAAAAAACTGTGGATTATGCAACATTGAATCACGAAAATTAAGAATTACTATAAAATAAGGCAATAATCAATTTGTAAAAAAGGAACCTAATTTAACTCTAAATGTAAGACAAATGCACAAAAATTATGTTCAGAGAATACATAAATTAATATAATTTCTTTCTTTTTGGTATTGGGATGATAGATTTTGACTGCACCAACAAACAACACAACAAACACTAAAAAGTATAGTTTATTGTATCAAAATTAAAAAAAACATTTAAAAACAAAATTCCACCAAAATACTGAAGCTCATAATGCTCGAAAAAATTGAATCGTGTCTACCATCAAAAAATGACCAGTTAGAAATACAATACATTTTTAAAAGCAATTACATGCAATGGTTTACATTCACTTTTTTATTTGGAAACTAAGTTTTATGAAAAATTGCAGGGGACGAGAACCCAGCTATCGAAATTTATTTTTTTTGCTTACGTTTTTCTTTAAATTTTTTTAAATATATATGCGGATAGTGTATTTTTATTCAGTAATATTTTCTTGTTTTATATATTTTCTTTTTTAAGATAAAAAATAAAAAATATTATTTTTCCACCATATTTGTAGAGCGATATCTGCCAACGTTTTTATAACTAACTACCCTTTATGTGAAATAAGAAGTCACACCCTGTATACTGAGGTTTTTTTTTGTTCATTCTCCCCATTTTATTAAACCATAATTGGACAACAAAAAATTTATAAATCTAAAACTATCTTGACTTTTCAATCGTTTTTTGATACCACGAGTTAGGGAAATTGGGAACAAAACTAATATCGTGAAGAGGTCACCCGTTAACAAAAACCATCGGTGTCGAAACGTGACGTTACTAAATTCGAATTCAAAAGGAAGTTGTTAAAGTAGTCACGGTTGCGTCGCCTTTCTTATGTTCATTAGACACAGTAGTCCCGGTATTGCAAAATAATGAACGGTCTCAAAACGAGTTGAATTGAGACGCATTTACATTTTAAAATTGAATTTAAATTTCAAATTTTAAATGCGTTTTTAAGTAATAAGCTTATATATGGTGTGGCTTTCGAAGGTTTTGTATCACCAGACGATTTCATTGCATTGAATTGCCAAATTCGTTTAAAGAAGCTATTAATATACAGTTTTATTGAACTGGTTTAAAAACATATGAATAATTTCAAGTTTTATTTAGGTACTTAACGTTTAATTTGCGCTGACTGAGTTTACGTTAATTCTCTGAAATAAAATCTTTTGTTTAGGTATGCACAATACTTCGAGTGGTGAAAACAACAAACATCTGACCGATATTTATACGGTTTTATACGGTAAAACAATTTGCGTAGATTAGTTTCAGCTCAACTCGCGATAACTAATATGCAATTATGTAGAACATGTTAATTGGACGTGAAAACCGGAAAGATAATGCAGTATACTTCCCTTTTTTTTTAAGATAATTGACTAAAAGGCACTGAAAACCGCTCAGTGTGACTCCTCTTTGATTGCCTTCTAAAACAAAAAAAAAACAATCGATTATCTTTAAAAACAACAATAACTCTGTATAAATAACAAATTTTATATTACATTACCGATACCTAGGCACATTCAAATTTAAATATTTATATTATCTATAAAAAAATTAGCGCAGACTGCCCGGAATTTTAAATAAAAACGTAATAAAACCGTTCCTACTATAAAACGATTGGCTCGTAGACAATTATCTTGCCATGTGTACTAATTTAATATAAACGATGCGACAAATGTTGTTAATGTTGTGCGCCGCGGAGAAAATATAAGTTAAAAAACTGTTTTAAATACGGCTAATGATCATATTCTTTGTAAATGTTAACCGCATCATGCATTTAGTTTATAATAACGAAGTTAGTCACCTTGAATTGCATTTTCTTCGGTTTACAGGAAAGGCAGTATCACTCAAGAAAACATTCAGTAAAGTAAAACCTCAATGATTCATACACAAATTTTCTGCTTGCGTACCAACCTAAGACCAATCTTGGTTATAAGGGGTGTCCCAGTAAGGATACGGTAAGGTGAACAAGATGCAAGGACGGAAACTTGAAAAAAAAAGTTTCTGAACGCAAGAAAATCTGAAAAAAAAACGATATGACGTTTTTTACTTCATTAGATAGTCGAACACGGGTCAGTGAAAACTTCTTTAATCTAACCAAAAATATGAATAAAGGAGCTTTTTACTAACGTTACGTTTTATTATTAACTAATCAATTGTAGAAAACTAAGTAATTTTATTAACTATTGAGGTATTTAAGTAGTAAAATGTGGAAAACCATTTAATTAATGAATAAGGCATCTCAAAATCAGCTACTAGAGATATAGGGGGCCTATCTATGTTTATAATACAGGAACAATTTTGAGAAGGTCTATTTAACATGCGCATGCGCTAGATTTAAAATCTCGTTTTTAAGCAATTGTGGCATTCAACGACCAACATGACCGCTGAAAGATCATCAAAAAATGTGATGTGGCATTTGATTTGATTGCATCAGAATATGTGCAGATCCTATTAAATCTTCAGACAAAAAGAGTTAAGCGTGTAGATATCGCTTTTTAGAAAGAAAATGGAGCAAAGTGGTGAAAAATAGGGCCATGTAGTGCTAAGTATCGACGTGTTAGGAGCGACGAAAAATAAAATTAGTTGACAACAGTTGACCAATTTTGGTTAGTTAACTAATAATACTAAATAACTTGAAAACGGAATATTAAAAGTTGGTTAGTTTAGGGTACTTTTATACTTTTGTGGGTTTCAAGGGCACTTAAAAAAACGATAAAGGTAAATAAGTATATTTTATATCGACGTTAAATATCATAAGTAATAACTTCTTTCTTTCAATTCTGCAAGTGGAAATGCTTCACAAAATTGATTTTTTTTCTTTTATTTCCAATTTAAGTTAGGATAAAATATTGAGATGCGCATTATTTGGCCCTTATTTGACTAAAAAAGTCATATATTGTATATTTTTTCAGATGTTTGTTTGCGATTGTTTCAGAAAACGTAATTGCAATTGCCTCAAATCCTTTTCAACGACTCCAAGTTTATTTTTGGAGTTATTGATTTAGTTTTCGAAAATGTTCACACCTCCCACCACTGTCCTTTTAGAGATTAAAATATAACTGATTTTTTCAGCTTTAGAACGATGCTCACTCTAACTAACTAACATTTTGCAGAAACCTAGTTTTAAAAATCAATTCAGTAATTACGCCCCTGGCGACCAGAAACTTGAAAAGAATTACCAGCATTTTCTCTTTGCTGATTTACTTTTTTTTTTAATTTCTAGGACCGTCGGTTTCCGTAATACCATACTTCGTCTCTGTTACTGAGCTTGTTTTAAATTAGTAAGGAAAAAGTGGTTCTAAAATTTATATTTAGCAATTTTGTGTAATTTGCACAATTTGACGGTTTTTCAAAATTTGGCGTAAACAGGCAAAACTGCTCAACATGGCACCTCAAGTAAGTTGGTTCCGTCTAATAACTGATTAATTTTACAATAATTATTAATAACAATTACTATAGGGATGATGTCACTTTAAATACGAAATTAAGAAATGTGGTACAACATATCAAAATATTAAAATTATCCTTCACTCGCTTATACCACGTTAATTTTTGCCTATTGCACTTACTAATAAATTATTGTTTATTATGCCAAGCATCAATGGGCAATTTTCATTTTGGCATACCAAAGATACTTTTTATCGTATTTTATGATAAGTTCGCAAATTAATCACATCCGTTCAGATTAGATAGTGCCCTTTTGAGTATTTCTCTAAAATAAGGACTTAATAAACATCGCGTGCTTAACCTACAATATTTATTAATAATTCAGCAATATTGGTAACAGGAAATTGCTGTCTTGTCTGAAAATTATACAGTAAAGACAATCAATGTCCGACAGCGATATCAATGTTTGTCAATATCATGATTTATTTATTGTTGATGAACAAAATTGACTTTGTCTTTTATATTTTTTCAAACAGTAGAATGTAACGATAAAAAACATTAACTGAATTGAAAAACCGAAAATCAATACATTTTAATTTAGAATATTGAAATTGACAATACACGTTTGCCGACATAGATTCTCATACGAAAATACAAACACCGTCAAGGAACACGCAATCACCTCAAAACGACAGCAATATCGAATGTTTTAGTACGAGTTTATTAATTTGAATTTTCGTGTAAATAATTGATAGCGTTCTATGCATAATTTACGCTTCTATAGAGCGTCATTGGCCTTTTTGCATTTTTCATTCCGCTTCATCGCAAAATAATCTACGATACAGGTCAATGGAATTTTCGGAGAGAAAAATAACAAAACCAAAACTACCTAAGATTTTTTCTTTTTATAGTTCAAATTATAGGTTGACCAAGATCAAGATAATATACTGCATTTTCATTTCAAATAGGAAATAACACATCTATATTTCACAACAACAGCTAACGCTTTTGACAATATCGTTCACAATTCACACTAGTAATAATTTAAGCTCTGCATTTTAGTCTATTGAGTGCTCTCTATGGAGGACTTTTTTTTGGGTGTCGAATCTTCCAGTCGTCTCTCGAATTGCGGACACTGTAAAGATGCGTTTGGTCTCGCGTACTCGAGTTTTTAAACAGAGACAGTTCCGACCCCAACCTATTGCATGTGGATTTCACAAAATTGATTGCCGACTATAGTTGAACGTGTATACAAATTGATGCGCGGTTGCGTTTATAAAATTCTGGCATATAGGTACCTGCAATCTTCATTATGCCATTAGAGAAGCAGCGCTTTTATTAGATTTGCAAATATGATGAGCTACGGGGGATTACGTCAAAGCAATCTTATTTTAACTATAAAATTATAATATTTTTATTGTGATTTTGTTAAAACGGATAATGAAAAAATCAAGGAATGATTTATATTTAAGTAAAAAGTTGTTTTCAAATAATTTCCCATACGTAATGAGATTATGGGTTATATCTTTTTAGTATTGTCAAAGCTCACTTGTAATGCTACCTTCGAATTTTATACCAAATGTAACTTTAGTTTCAGCAAAAATGTACAAAGAACTTAACGGAACGAAATCCTCTCCCAAATTCCGAAGGACCAGTAGTCAAATATGCCCGGCCCCTGATGTCGAACTTCTAGAAGCAGTTCTAAAGAACGAGACTGACAAAATAAGGAGGATAATATTGTCCAATCGTCACCTATTAAGCCATATTTACACTCCAGAATACAACAAAACGGTACTGCTGATAGCTTGTTCTGAGGATGGTGTGGAAGCCAAGACGGTTAAAACGTTGCTAAATCTTGGAGCCAATCCAAGAGACTTTAGTGAGACGGATGGCTGGGAAGCTTTACATTTCGCCGCGTACAAGACAGATAGCGAAATACTTAACGTACTTTTGGAGAAAAATCCTGGTGACGTTAATACTACGGCCAAAGGTAATAGCTTGACGTTTTCGTTTACACCGTATAGTTTCGGCAGTGAACTCGATATAAATTCTACTGGTCATGTAATGCACCTTGATCAACGCATCTTCCGTGCCTACATTTTTTCTAAAACCGTATTGATTAGTGTTGAATAAGGTTTTTTTTTCTAAAAATGTTTTTAATCTATTTTCAATACACTTTTCAAGGACTAGCGCAATTGGTCTGTAATTCGACATTTGGTCTCTCAAACCTGATTTATATAGAGGGATAATAATGGATTCCTTAAAAATGTCCTTGGAGAATACCAGGTTAACCAAATATAGTATGGGCGTAGTAAAATATTTATGTTTTTTCAAATAAGATAAAGAGCATTAGATATACCATCCCCATCATTTGAATTCGTATTTTTCACCCGTTTTATTATTTGTATTAATTCTTTTTCTAGTATTGGTGACAAAAATATACTGAAATTTTTTTTTCTGTTTATAACTTACAATTTTTGGCCTTTTGATCTTCAACGCAAGTGTTCCTCACACTACTAAAGTGCATTGGAAATTTCTAGATTATCCGTGCCCGGCCTAGCAAAGTTGTAACACAGATAAAATTATAAAAAAATAACTAAGCTTCCCTTATAGGAAAAATTGTTAATTATATGTAAACTTCATTTTTGCCATCAAATTCAAGATTTGTCAAAAACGGTATAGGCCAGGAAATATATCTAGAATTTCCCGGCGAATCCAACAATGGTAATAATATACTGAACGGAACGCCCTAAATATATAAAAAAAAAATAAAAAATCTAGATAAAACTATTTCACTTTTTTTTCTGCCGGTAAGTAACTACCAACTAACTTGAGGTGGTAGAGAACCTTATTTTGGGCACCATGTACATAAGAGTATATTTTTTGAAATAATGTTGAAATACACCCCATTCTCTCATTCTCTCATGCTTATAAATGAGAGAGAAACAAGAAACCCCATTACCATCCGTTTTTTTCTATTGTAAAATTTGCCTCACTTTTATATCACGCCGATGGCATTTCTTGTTTTCAGGCAGTAACGCTTTACACATCTTGATTAGGCACGGTAACGCTGAATCGGAAGAATTTCTAAAATGTGCTGAGTTGCTGATCAAAAAAGGAATTAACGTCAACTTGGGGGACGCGAACAACGTGTCTCCGATTTTGTGCGCCGCCAAAAAGGGCTATAAACATATAATCAAACTCATGCTCGATGTCAGCGTAGTACCGGTGGACTTAGACACGCACCAACTTAGAGGAAAAACCGCCAGAAATGTAATCATAAGTCAAAATCTGTACGACGGTATTTTGCCGCCTCCCGTAGATAATTCCAGCATCGATGGAAAAGAAATCTTGTTCAGTTATGTTAAGGCCGGCAACGAAGACGCGTTTGTAAATTTTGAAAATGGACATATCAGAGATTTTGCCGACTGCGTCGATTCGACTTCGACTTTACTTCAGGTGTGCTGCGAAAGAGGATTGGATAAAGCAGTGTTACATTTGCTGCAAAATGGTGCAGATCCTAATAGGAACACCTGTAAAAACATTCTATTGCCTGTGAGTACTGATTTCCTTTAACTAGTGTAGAAGCTTCTCGATCCAGCCTATAATAGTACATTACCATCAGAACTGCCAAACGTCAAAATACAATGGTATTTACAATTTAGTAAAAATATATATATTAAAAAAATGATTTTATGGTAATATAAGTGGTTCCAAATAGATTTTTGCCACGAACATTGTTCATTTCCAGAGTAGCGACGCCGATAAGCCATGTTTTGAATAAACGAGTATGTTTGCAAGTATAATCATTAATCATAAATTTGCAAATGTTTTTTTCGTCGAACCTAATAACCATCTAAGATTTTTTCCACTTGTTACAAGTAATTGAACTCCCTGCAGTCGATTTACAAATCATATATCATCATTATATATATACATATATATATATATATATATATATATATATATATATATATATATATATATATATATATATATATATATATATATATATATATATATATATATATATATATATATATATATATATATATATATATATATATATATATATATATATATTCTACTCCCTCTTGTAAAATGTCTAATTATACACCGATCCAGCTTGCGGGAAACGTCACTTTATCACGTGAGTTTCTTGACCCACGGATCCGAGCCACTTCGGACATTTTCGGAATATTACGGCACTGGGTTGGGAGCAATCGTATGTTTTCGGACTTTTTACCGCACAGCTTGAATTTTGACGATTACAAATTCTTACGGTCATGTCAGTGAATGTAGTTGTGTTTTTTTGCAAAAATGGACCCAAAAGCTATCGGTTGTAAAAAAAGTATAGTACGCAACACGTTTGGTAAACATTTTAACTCACTCGTTTATTATACACTAGCTCCGCTCATGCCACATAAACTAGTGACAGAAATGCCCTTTACCAAACTTGTTTAATAATATACTATTTTTCTGTTCCCTTTAATTATCTAATTATACACCGATCTACCTTGCGAAAAGCGTTACTTTACCACATGAGTTTCTTGTTCCACGGATCCGAACCCATTCGGACATTTCATAGATATTACCGCACGAGTCATTGAATGTATTCGTGTTGTTTTGCAAAAATGGATTCAAAAGCTAACGGTCTTAGAAAAAGTATAGTAAGCAACACGTTTGGTAAACTTTTTTAGTCATTCGTTTATTAAACACTAGCTTTTCTGCGCTCCGCTAGTACCAAATAGACTCCTGACTCAAATGCCGTTTAGTGTGGTATTGTTGCATAATATACTTTACCCAAATTAACATGAACAGTTTGAGGTTCAGATTCTCCCATTAAATTATACGATGTCATTTCAATAGCACCCTGTATATAAAACAATGTGCCGATAATATTGTTTCGGCTTTGCAACAAACATTACTGCAAATTTCAATCCAATTACTTTAGAACGATATTCTTGCAGATCGAAATCGCAGCGGAAAATGGAAATTCAAAAATATTCGAAACTCTAATCGAATGGGAAAACATTAAAATTCCCAGCACGGTGTTAATATCGCTCTTGAAGTACATAGATGACGATTGTAATTCCAAGTATCAGTGTTACAAGTTGCTAATGAGGAAAATCAAGAAGCAATCAGAGACCAGACCCGACGAAGTGTCAGCCATTCTAAATCACGAGGATAACTCCAGCAATACACCACTACATTACGCAATCAGGTACAGATTCGGGTATTGGGCGTTAAATTGATATTAACGAGTCATTATTTCCAGGTACGCTGATAAAGAAATTATACGAGAACTTCTAGATTTGGGAGCATCTTTGGGTGCAAAGAATAAATATGGCGTCATGCCCATACAAGACATTGAGCCAGAAGCTTTGGAGAAACACCTGGATAATTGCGTTTCTTTCGATATGCAGAACAAGAAGATCGACAAGGAAGATTTCGCAGTTACTTTCGTTTACCGGTCTTTAATTCCTCCATATGTTAGGTCAAAAAGTGATGGTTACGTGGACGATATCGAAGCTGCGAGTTTTAATGTTAATATTAACAGAGAGCTTGTTGCCGAAACTGAGGTGGGTACTTTATATGCTATGGTATGAAATTTGTGTAACTATTTTTGCTACAATATCAATGTTTAAGATCTTCTTTATTTCAGGTTATATCGTACATGAGCAAAGCCTCAGAATTCAAACACCTCCTAAAACATCCGGTGATAGTGAGCTTCCTTTTCATGAAGTGGCTTAGAATACAATGGTTATTTTGGACCAACTTAATATTTTACATATTATTCTCACTGTCGCTGGTTGTTTATATTTTTGCCCATTATACGAATTTTTCAAATGAAGAAAAGTCAGTGATCCACAACATTTTCATCCAAATCTCTTACGCAATACTCGTACTTTCTTTCTTGCTACTACTGTTCCGTGAAGTGTTCCAGATATGCGTAGCGCCGAAAAAATACTTTAAAAATTTCGAAAACTACATAGAAATCATCCTCATTGTGTTAACTGGAATGATAATATTCGTTAAGTCGCCTTCAGACGATCTGAGAAAGCAGTTATCTTCCCTCTCTATATTGCTAGCGGCGTTTGAACTCGTGCTGATGTTAGGCCAACATCCCTACTTCTCAACCAATGTGGTTATGTTCCGTACAGTTTCGTTCAACTTTTTCAGATTTCTTATATGGTACTCTTTGCTTATAATAGCGTTCGCTTTAAGCTTCTACATTTTATTCACTACCGACAACAACGGTGAACCGACGACGAGAGTAAACCAAACAGACCAAGGCGAAGATAACTTGTTTAACAACCCCGGCAAGTCAGTTTTCAAAACGGTAATCATGTTGACGGGGGAATTTGATGCGGGATCTATCAATTTCGAAACGTTCCCCGTGACGAGCAAGATCATTTTCGCCTTGTTCATTTTTATGATCGCCATCATATTATTGAACCTTTTAAACGGTTTGGCAGTGAGCGATACTCAAATGATCAAGAATGATGCCGAATTAGTAGGGCACATAGCAAGGGCACAGCATATAAGATACGTGGAAAGCATGCTCGTAGGGAATATTATTCCGGTAAACGTTTTGAAAAAGATAAACAACTTTTGCTGTTGCTTACCCATGCCCGACCATTGGAAGTGCAAAATAACTCAGGTTCTTGCAAAAGACGCTTGTCTATTTCCTAAGTACCTCAACTACGAACTGGTTTTTTACCCTAACAAATCCGGATTGATCAGTCTGCCGGGCGTCAATAAAGGAAAAACCTGGTCCATATGCAAAAGTTGCGCCGCCTGCACCGCCATCTACTTGGATAGAGATACAATTCGACGGACTAATAATATTGTCGAAGCTAAGAGAAATGAAAAGGTTAAGAGGGAAGATTGCCAGTTGGGCAAGATAGAATACGAAATCAATGAACTCAAAAAGAAGATGGACAGTCTATTGAGATATTTAGAAGACAACGGTAATTTTTGAAATGATATTTACGCCTTCATCTATTGTTATGTAACCTAATATGCTAATAAAGTTTTCATAAAGTTCATTCTTATTCTTTATGTGCCGTCTGGTCTAAGAAGGTTGTCTATCATCGTGGTGATTCTTACTTTGGACGCGGCTGCCCTCACTTAAGTTTTTCAGCCAAGAAGTGGACCTTCTCCCCACTCTTCGTTTGCCTTGTATTTCTCCCTGTATTAGTTGTAGCATGTGGTACCCTTTTGCGCGCATAACGTGACGCAGGTAAGCAAGTTTCCTTATCTTTACAGTCTTCACTATCTCTGTTGTTTTATCCATTCCTCTTAATATCTTGTTACTTTGTTTTTTTTGTTACTCTCTCTATCCAAGAAACTCCAAAAATGCGTCTGTATACCCACATTTCAAAAGCCTAGAGTCTTTTTAAGTCGTCTTTGTTCGTTGTCTACGACTCCATTCCATAAAGGATTGAAAAAATATAGTATCTGCCCAATCTGATCTTAAATTTGATGTTTAGATCTCTAGCGCAGAATACTTTTCACATGTTGGCAAATGCAGCTCTAGCTTGTCCTGATTGCCATTATGCAATCTTTCCCGGACGTTTGCTTTGCTGATTACCATGAATTTTCTCTTATTGGTATTAAGTGGAAGACCAGCTTCTTCACTGCTATTGACAATTTTATCCATCATTCTTTGTAGCGCTACCCTGGGCTAATATCAAGGTGTCATTGGCAAAGCGGATATTGTTTATGAGTTCACGGTTTATCCTTATTCTTGCTGTTTCTTCACATATAGCCTCTTGCATGATTTTCTCCGAGTAGAGGTTAAAAAGTATAGGAGAGACCACCGGTCCTTGTCTTACTCCTCTTTCTATTATTACCTTATGAAGTCTATTAGTATTATTAAATCCTCGGATAATAAGTAACCAAGATATATATCACTCGTTGATTCTTTTTACCCAATTATCCAAAAAATGTATCATGACGCAACATGAAAACCAATATTAAAATCAATACTACCATAAACTAATTAAGATTTATTTGTTAAACAAGAAGTATATTTACATCCATATTCCAGAAGTTTAGCTTTTCAAGTTAAAATTGCTTTCATTTTCTTGTTTTGTCCTTTGATAACCACATTATTAATATTAAAGAGATATTTTTACATAAAATAAATTAATATAAAAACGAATGAACACCCAGAAAATTAACCAGACGAATTCACCAATCCTCCAGTATAGTACGAATTGAAATTCAACCTGAAATAAAAACAAGGTATTGAACCAAAATGATACAACTTGATACCATACTATACCAAAATGCACCGTGTTATTCAGATCTATTTTATCAAGCAACCACTACACTTCTAATTCACGAAGACTAGCAATAAAAAACGCAAAATTAGAGTTAATCTGGCAATACCAATTAACCATCTAATATCCCGGATATGGTAAATAGAATCTTGATTAAAATATGGAAAAAATAATATTCAAAGATAAATAAAACTAATGAGTTTATCAAAAATTCTACAGTAAACGAAAGAATTTGATTTAAAAAAATATCAAAAACCAACTCACCTATAGAGCAAGTTAAACAACCTGTCGTGTTCGCTAGTATCTTTGTTCAGATTATTAATTTGCGCCAAGAGAGTTCTAATAGACTTGGTGAACTGGGCGTCAAATGCTCCTATTTTGTCTTTAAAGCTTAAATCTAGTTCTGTTTCGTGGCTGCTACTGAGAATCATTACGTCATTCTATAAATTGATCAGAATTAAGTAGCGGTAATTTGCAAGAGGAAAAATAACTTGGGGAAGGGACAAATGCGCCACTAACTGATATCTGTTGTAAGTTATACTTAAGACACGTGGAAAAGTAAGCAGAAGAATAAACGACATTTTCTGGTACTTAAAACAAAAGTTTTATGAGTAGACTGGGACTAAAGTTTATTTTAGGGGCTTAACTCCGAGTTCCCAAACTGAATATTAAAATTCAAAAATTGGACGCATATTTTGAGATGGGTGAAAGAGTAGTGCAAAGAGCGATTCATCATGCGTTTAATATATTATATTCACTAAAAGCGCAATAAAAGCTTCTTGCTTTAGTAATAATACCTGCATAAAAGATTCGTAAAACGAATTTGGCAATGAGCCCAACTCCGCTTCCACAAAATAGCGCTGCATCCTCTTCGAGTGTGCAAAATGCGATAATAAAAAAATCATATATATATGTATACATATAATAAAAAACTTTGAAAGCAAATGTTTAAAATTGCCACATCGCTATAAAAAATTGAAATTCTTACTTACTTGCATAAATTTGCAAAAATCCACGCAAATATTTAGCAAGTCGATGACGGTGTTCAAGATCTCCGGTATTGTTAACATACAATCTTCAAGGCAGCTATCTAGGAAATCACAGTGACACGCTAAAATTTCATCAACATTTTGAACCTGAAATAAAGATTTTCGAGAATTCTTAATTGTCACCTAAATAAATCCAGCATATAACTGACCTTAGATATTTTCTGTAAAAACATACACCAATGGGGCTCTATTACCTCGACCATCATGTGGTATTCCAGATTTTGGATACAATGAAGCATCTTCTGCCTCAGTGCGAAAGCTTCCCTATAGTGCCTTGCGTCTTCACAGTGAAATTTTTTAGCCACCTTATTTGACTTCCACACTTGGCAAATCATCCTTTCCACGTGCTTGGAATAGAACAAATGGCGAAAAATCATCTGGTAACGTGCCAAAGACTTTCGATTAAGTATGAGAGATAACGGCCAATGCACTTCGTAACTAAATGTAAAAGATTCTATGACGGACAGCTGTTTGGGATCGGAATTGGTCCAATACTCTAGAATAGAAAAATCATTGTTGCGTTAATCGATTTAGGCAATTTAGTAAAAATTATACCCTGTTCTGAGTTAGTTTGTATGCTCAATATTTTAAACATCTGATACTGCAAATTAAAAGGCAGTAATTCAGTCCTCAGATCATCCTTGTAAGGATCGTTAACAGCGCTAGAAAGACGCAAAGCCAAATCCATCAGAGATTCCAATCGGCCCTGTATAACATCCACCACACCTTTATTCATTTCTTTTTCACACAGAGTTAAAAATGTTACTATGAAATCGCCTTTATCGAGCAGAAAATAATGTTTAACGGATTTCAATCGACCGATAAGATCCTTTTCCTTAATTACCAGGTCTAACAGTGTTTGGCTCGCAAACATATAAGCCTTCTCAATCGCCTCAATATAGTGCTTCTCTTCAATTTTGTATTGAATCGGATGGACTTTGTTTTTCACTGGTTTTCCTAAAATTGTTCGTTATCAATTGCTCACTATGGAGAATACGTGAAATTACCACACTGACGGATCACATTCAGATATTTTCCGGCTTTTAATATAATATCGGAAACCGAATCTAAGAATTTTGGTATTCCATCTCGTCGGATTGAGTACTTTTTGTCCCAATAGTCGGCCGAATAGTCAACGGGCATGTCTTCTTTTTGAATTACCTCGTTGTCTTCTATCAGAAACTAAAATCTTAATTTAATTCGATACGCTATCACAAAATGGAAAAATTCATAAATCCTGAATTCTGAAATGCGGTCAATTTCTTTTTTTATTTTTCTGTTCACTATTTAAGCACACATATAACTTTGAATGCAATATTTCGTTTGTTAACTGGGGAATATACATTTCGCAACATGCTTTTTCAGTCACATCGTTACCTATGGATTGTTGCGATAGGATCCTGTAATGCTTCTCAGGGAAGAGGCATTTTTTAACCATAAAAACTTGTTATAAATGCGCTATTAACAATTAGCCTGTGTTCTTTATGCAGTATGCTCTTTATACGCGACACACGACACGAAAATTATGTGTTTTTTAAAAAGTGCGCTGCCGAAAATAAACTCAAAATTACCTCCCGGGTTATATAATTGCCGCATAATAGAATCCCATCAAAGTCGTTTTGTAGAATTAAAAAGCGAACAATAACAAACTGGAACTATGGCCATAACAGATTAAAAATTATATTTCAAAAATACTTTGGCCAATGCGGTACTGCAGTATGTATCCCAAATAATTTCCAATTGAAAATTCAAATCCTGAACATATTTCTTTTTTATATTTTTTTCTTGGTTTGGCTCAATAATTTGCTTTTTACCAAAATTTGAAATGGGGAAAGTATGTTTTTTATTTAAACACCTTGTATATTACGCTTCCATGATGATGAATAAATAACCAATTAATTATTAACGGAAGTAAGTTCTAAGTTAGTGTGTTACTTAGTTGGCTGGTAGAAGCGGAATTTAACTTTATACTTATAATGTACTTACCTCACTTATTGGATCCGAAATAATTCCTCTGTATATCCACATTCCCAACATTTTCATATATGGTTGGCAAGCCTCTTCCATAAGTCGGAGGCACAACTGCTGAGTTTTTTCATCCCCAATTGAATTTATCACACTGTCATGCAAGAGGCTTAAAACTTTACCACCTTTTGCATTGGACTATAAAACAGATCTAGGTTATTGTATGTCATGTACTGCAAACTTCTTGTATTACCTTGCTTATAGAAAATGCTATACCCGCAGCAACACCGAGACATTGCATGTTTCTTTGTGCAAAGAACCACACTTTTTGTAAATTTAGATTATTTGTTCGGAATTCCGTCTCAAGTTGGACAACAAATAGCTATGTGTATAACAGATCATACAACATACAAAAATATAAACAAAATCAATTTAACCAATTTCACACTTACCATATGGTCTTTAATAAGCCTCTGCATAGCTTCTGCCAGGGCATTATTCACTTGACCAAACTCAAACCTCATCTTTTCTTCTGTAAACCTTTGTATCACAGAATAATGACTGGCCAGGGGAAGTATCTGTTTAACAAGTTCTTGCAGTGCTGGAGGCACATTATCATTTATTCTAAACATCCTAGGGCCATAAATATCACTTAACTCTTCCGGTTCTATATAACATCCTGGAAGACCTATAAGAACGTTCAACAAATCCTCAATAAGCACATTTTCTTGGGAAACTTCAGGAATTGCTGCTGTGTAACTTCCAAAGCTATGTGTGGAAAAATCAAGTGACATATTTGGCCTTCTCTGAACCCAAGAAGCCACTGATGGTGTGGAAGCTAGGGGTATGGATGCAGATACATTTAAAATACTGCTTATATCCCCTACGGGCATATTTTTTATATTCTCCTTCAATCTGCTTTTGACCTTCAAGATTCATTCAGTTAAATGTTATTACAAAAACAGGTGCAAATAATGTACCTGTGGTAATGTATCTCGAGTAATTATTTCTGAAATTGAAAAAGGTTGTTTCTTGCTCTTCAAGAGCAAAGATTTTACCCCGCTATCACGGGAAATACTGTTAAGTAACTGCATGTACAAATTTAAACAATCCACACTAAAACAATAACACAAAAATTCATTATACATGATAGCTCTAATAGGTAACATACTTCTTTTGTTTCAAATCATTGTATTTTGCTAAAAATGGCTGTGGGTTTGATACTTTTTCTACAAGATTCTGAACATGACTTTCTTGAATCATCTGTAAGCCCGAACAGCTTGATCCAGTGCTTCTATTTAGATCTTTTTGTAGATAATCAACCAACTCTTCTGGCTGCACATGCCCCCTAACAATAATAACATAATAGTAAGTAAAAACATTAATCAAATCATTTTTTACAAACCCCAATTGTTGTAATAATTTTGCAACAACATGTTGAAGTTTAAATTCACTCATATTGAGGCAAACTACTGCTAGTTTATACCATCTAGCTTGTAATTGAGGGGAATATTTTGTGAATAAGGCATTCAAATATAAACAAATAATCGTTATTTTGACGTTCTATACTTTCTACTTGAAGCTTCGTTTTCTTTTTTAATATTTTTAGGGTTCGAGGTTTTTTCTCTATTATAGACGAATTTTAATTAATACTTCATAGACTCATATTCATTTTGTAAAACGAAATTATGAGCTTTTTGTTTATATTGCAGAAGGATCAACCTCATAGGTTTAACCGACTATTGTTATTCTAAGCTATAGCCTGTTCAATGCCATGAAATCGCTCTCAGTCACATCAAACCACAGAATTAACAAGTAGTCTGCGACAAGAATCGTAAAGATTACGATTTTTGGTCTGCGATCAAATTGGTCTCAGTATCCATGGTTGTTTGAATATAAATGAAAATGGTGGTTTTGTATTGACACGCTGTGGTTCAATAGTTTATCGCAAATTCAGCAAATTTTTGTATCTAGCTTTCTAAACCCGCTGCACATTTCAGTATTTTAGCCGCAATGGCAGATTTATTGGAAGCATTGTACGAAAAGTACGAAGTTCTGTCGGCTGCAAAAGATAAAATTGATCAGGTTAGGTGAATCCTAAATCTAGTTTGTATAGGTACTTATTAACTTATTTTGGCAGCACTCGAAAGAATATGAAGATTGCATAGAGGGCACAAAAGGTGATGCAAAAGAAAAGAAACTGGCTGCACAAATAATTTGCAAGTTTTTTAAAAATTTTCCTTCCCTGCAAGATCAAGCCTTAAATGCAATTCTTGACTTATGCGAAGATAGTGACAGTGATATTCGAATCTGCGCCATGAAAACATTACCATTACTTTGCAAAAGTAACAAGGAATTTGTCAGTAACATAGGAAGTATTTTGTCACAATTACTGCAGTTAGAAGATCAAGATTATACCACTGCATGCAACTCTTTGATTCAAGTATTTAAAGAGGATCAGGTAAATGCCACTAAAGGTATACTGTCGAACATTCTTTCTCCTGCTGATGAAACAATCAGGGAGAAATGTATTAGTTTCTTATATACCAAACTGGCGAAACTTCAGGTTAAACTTGGTACTGAACTGGAGGATTTGTTGATTGAAGAAGGCAAGAAAATTCTTCAGGTATGAACTTCAATTGTTTTTATTATTTTGGGAAATTTACAATATTTATTGAGATTAACAAATTTACAAAAATGAAAAATTTTCATACTTTCATTAGCAATAACGATATTATGTATTATAAAAACATAAACAGATTTATAATATTAAAATGGTTAATTAATGGTCAATACAGATGACATAAATTTTGTTTTAGGATTCTACATCTAATGAATTCCTGATTGTAATGCCTTTTTTAATGGATTCAAAATTGATAAAAACAACAGCTGGGCAGCAAGAAATGGTAGATTTAGTGGCTGAAAGGGTAGAACTTAGTGAGACTTTTGACCCTCTAGAGGAGGGAAGCAATAACACTGATCGTTTAATCATGTGTGTGGATTGTATTCTGTCAGTATTCAATGTAAGTTGATTTCATTTTTTGGGGATCTATTGATTTTGTGATTATTTTAATTGTAGGCCAATGTGAACTCCACAAAATTTGTTGTATATTACTGTGATCAAGTATTACCAAGGTGGGATACAATTGGCACCTTAGAAAATGGAGAAACTTTACAGTTAAGATTGTTGAGACAATTGGCAGAGCTTAGTGCTCACTGTGGAGATCTTGAGAGTACTTCAGTTCAAGTTGGCCACATTTTTGAAAAAATCAAAGTTTGTTATTTCCTTAATTAATTTTAGTTATAAATGAAATTTTGGATTTTAATGATGTTCAAAAAAATTCTAAACTATATTCTTTATGTGAATTGTTTAATTGTATTTTTGTATTTTCTGAATTTAAAGTGATGTTAAGACTGGAATAAATTTTATAGGATTACATGCCCCTACCTCCTGAGAATGTGGATATGAGTGAGGTGCCTAACCTAGACTTCTCAAGTGTTGAATGTTTGCTCTATGCATTTCATAAGTTAGCCCGAAAATGCCCAGAATTTCTAACAGCAGACCCACAACTTTTAAAGGATTTTCGACAGAGGCTGCAGTATTTTTCAAGGGGTGTGCAGGGGTGCAAGAGAGGCCTGGAAAATACACTGGCTAACAAAAAGGACGGATTAAGTAGAGAAGAACAGGCCAAATTGAAAGTAGCCCCAATAGTGTTGAACAATATTAATTCTCTGATCAAGGATTTGTTTTACCAACCTCCATTGTACAAGTGTAATGTTCAATTGTCATTTAAGAAAGAAGACAAAAAAATCAAGGTTAAAAGTGTTTTCATCAAATGAAACTTATAATAAATTTTGCTTTTTAGGTTAGCGAAACCCATATTTCTCCTTCAGGTGGAAAAAGACATGTTCCCATCACATTCGATTCTAGTAATGGATCCACTGCAAAGCAGAACAGGTCAAATAGGAGTGGAGAGGATAGGAAACTGTACACGCCGCCAAGCGGAAAATTTAGTAATAATTTTGGTAAGTTATGTCCATATCCTATACAGAATTTGATCTAGAAAATGTTATATGTTGTTAGTGAGTTTTTTGCAAGGCAAGTTTTTGCTTATTCTTGTTGGATTTTGTTTCTTTTCATAATTGCGAGAAACTGATAGGTACAGCAAGATTGATTTCGAAAAATCGTGGCTGTGCGAAGCGTCTGCTCCGTAAGATGCACCTTGCAGTCTAGAAAGCCACTACTGAGCTTTGAATTTTTTATTTTGTCCTAGAGGGACGCATTGTTTTTGTATCGTGCTCCTGCGGACGACTGTGGAACTTTCGCAAAATCGATTCAATTTTATTCTGCATACACACTGTATAAAGTCTCGTCGATCTTCAAAGTCATTGCAAACTTTGATAAATACAAAAATTTGTACTCTCAATAGCGATTTCCAATGATATTTCTTCAATTATCTCTTGCACCCTGGAACTCGCAATCGACACAGTTTATTCAAATCAAATTATCCCATCTATAACAGTTTTTCATTTACCGCAAAAAAATTACATATAAAAGACACATCCTATATTTAATTCAAACAATGTTCGATATTGAGGGTATAGCCCTGGATCTCGCACGTTTCCTGGTATATGAAATTTTCCAATAGAGTGCTTTTCGAGAAAATACTAGTTTTCTGAGACGTACGTCGTAATAGTAAATGACATCATCGCGTCTAGATTTAGGGCGAGAAATGTTGGTTTTCATTTGGATTTTTTTAAGTATCCCGAATAGCGTATGTGATAAGAAGAAAACCGTAAATACAAAAATTGTGGCTATTGATGTGGTCTACAATACCATCTAAACCATTTTTCCATATTTTTTAGGAATTTTGATTTACGGCTAATAATTTACTCTGGGAAAGAACAATTTTCGGGGTCTTTTAGATTTTTGTCCATAATTGAAAACCCCTGTATATAATCGAAAAAAACGTTTAAAATAAAAGTTATAGTCCTGAATCTGCCGCGTATCCTGATTCAAGAATTTTGCCGATCTTCTAAATAGTTTACGAGAAAATTATTTTTTCTAGAAGCAAAAATAACCCAATAAAAAAAATTTCCAAAACTTTTGATTGCGCCCAACTTCTAAGGTTTAAATGTAAGTATATACTTCTATATTCCTGGCAATTCTGAAGTGGATAGCTGCACATTTACATTATAGCACGAAATATCCCTGTACAATATGTAAAAACGTTAAATAGAAAAGTTTTAGGTGTCTATACGGCCCGTATGACCATGTCCAAGAAACTGACAACTAGTTATAGCCAATTTTCTTTACAAAATCCCATTTTTTAGGTTATTTGCAAATTCACGCTCACTCTGTAAATTAAAAAAAAAAACTTATTCTTAATGATTTTTTGATCCCGATCTTGTGCATCTTTTCGTTCACAAATTATTTCGATATTTGCAATCGTTTTTGAGAAATGATTTTTTTCACGGACCGTTGCAAACGCGATTTTTAATTTTTTAAAAATACTTCCCGACCCCGAGTTTCAATAGGTTTCATTAACTAAGCTCTATACCTGTGCCAAGTGACACTTATCGTGTTTTATAGCGTGGACTGTTTAAAAGGAGCAAAATTTGAGCTCCCTCACTCAAACCGTTCGAAAGTTATTCGCGTTTTTATGGAGCGTGGACAGAGAACAGAGAACATAGAACAGACAAAAAATGAAAACGTTTATTTTTCGACGCTGAATCAATCGGTACTAACAGCGACGCTGTACGACGCTCCGTTGTCGAGATATAAGTTTCGTTCTAAGCGCGTATACTTTCGAAAAATTCGATTTCATCGATTTTTCGAAAGTAACAAGTAATATGTTGGCCATGGTGTATCAGTTTTTGTGAAAGGGAAATATTACTTGTGTTTCAGCTAGGTCCAGTTCGCGCGGGGGTCGCGGTCGTGGGGGCCCAGTACCAAGAGGCAGAGGCAGTCGAACATGGAGGAATTGAACAGGTTTGCTTATAGGTTTTCAGAATTGACATTTTCTTCTTAGAGTTTAACAGTCTTTGGTATTTGTATCTCTTTGCTTAAATTACATTTGAATAGACAACTAAAATGTCATGCTAGGCAAAATATTTCAGCAATTTAATTTAAGCTAAGAGATTTGTGTTTCATAAGTTACTCATTTCTAATTATTCACTTCTTGTTTGAATTTTTATTTACGAAAGCAGACGAGTTTCGCAAATATTTATTTTTGCTTTCCTTTCAAATAGGTTGACTGTTCAGTCACATATCTAAATTTGTCCTATTTCTTTTTTATCATCATCTTAAAACACAAAAAAATATGATTGTTGCACTCCGGGGATGCGCTTAGTTTCGATGATTACCTCACTTTGTTTCCCTTCATTCTGCTTTTTCCTAATATTCCTAATGTGGTTATCATTTGTTCTTCATTTTTTCTTTTTGGGATGGAGTACGGCTTGTCTGAATATATATCTTGGAAACCATTGTTTTTTGTAACGGAAAATATATGTTTAATTTGACATTTTATATATGAATTTTAATTTTTGTCCTCTTTTGTGAACCTAGAGCAGCGAAATGTTTATATGGTTTTTCGTAATGAGTTAATGCCTGTTATAAATATTTTAAAAATTTGTGTAAAAATAAAGTGACAGTAGACAGAAGTGACAGTATTTTTATTGTCTTCAAAATTTTAGGGGATGTTGGAATATTTGCCAAATCCATTTTTAGTGAATATTTTGAAATTAGCATAGTAAATTGCTTTAAATTTAGATATTTTATTAGAGTGCTCTTTGCTTAAAATAGGCCTAAGAAAAGCAAAACTTTGTGGTTTTTATTTTGTTTAACTGATTGCAATTCAATTTCATATATGGCATTCTGAAAAGACCATCTTCACATTACATTTTTTTGAAGACGTTTTATAATTGAAATCTCTTTAGTCAGATAGGTCCAACAACATTTTTATTGTACTACGTAAAAAGTATTTTACATTAATAATCTAAAGCGCATATTAACGCAACGCCCCTCTTCACCCAGTGATGTTCGGGTTTTTGGCAAGGCAATTCGATCGCAAGAACATAATTGGTTGAATGTCCGGTGGTAGACAAAACGCCCGCCCTCGTTAAAGTCTTGTAAACGGGACAGTCATATACATCTGGAGGCTTAACATGGTGTTCTTCGGGTTTCAACCAGATCACTGGCATTTCTGGCGAAATATCCGATACCAGTCAACGAATATATTTTGTTTTATCAAAACTAACCTGTATACAAATCTTTTGGGTTGGATTCGTCCAGTATCTGTTTGGACGCGTTCCATCTAGCTCCTTCCAAAAACAAACCCGATATGCAACAACCATCCTTGGGTCGTTTGTCTGGGAAGTAGCTGAGTACCTACACATCGCATTTTATTTGTTTTGTTTTTTAATCATTTAAACGACGTTGAATAGCTAAGTCTAGTTTGGTATTTATTTGGCCCCTACGCTAAGGGTACATACAGTGACAACCACAAGGGATTTATGATGAGTTAGTTTAAATGATCAAACGAAAATAAAATAGAGATACACCCCTTTTTTTTAGACGTCGATGATTTGTGCCAAATGCTCAAGACTGCATTTACCTCAAAAGCAAAATTAATTGTGTCAATCGAAACTGCGTATTTTCTGGCGAAATTCTGAAGCGTTCCGGTCAAAAACGCTTGCGGGAAGTAGAATCCCGATATCCAAAATATTGGTGGAATTTCAGTTTCCACCCACTTGTTCAAAAAATGAATTCTTGCTTTGAGATCAATCACCCACGCTCCTAAAGTTAAACCAGAGGGGAATTTAGATATCAGATTGACAGACAGTATTCCATTACCCAGTGGTTTTAGGGATGGATAAGCTTTGACGGTCCACAATTCAGGCACTATGTTGCTAAACAAGCTGAGTGACATTTTTTCCAACGCTTCAGACATTACCGCCAGCCCTTTCAGTGCCTTCAAAAGATCATAGAGCGTGTGTTCAATCACCGACAATAGCCCGTTGTATCTGATAGCTTCTTGGATTAGCACAGTATTCAGAGATTCCTCGTATCTAACGGGGTACCTACAATTATGGGCGCTTTAGAACTGGTTTGACATTCTTAACTCTCGACCACGATTCACTTTGCCAGAATGGCGTCCAAATCAAAATAATTAGGCAACTGATCCAAAATAGAGTTAGCAACGGTCATCGTGACCTCTTCTTGGCTAGCTGCGGCGCCGCCGACGCGTTTCGGCTGCAATTGGAGTAATGTGGAGAGACATCTGTAGGTTTCTGCCTGCGCGAAAGTGATGTCGGCGTTGGGGTGCATACCGAAGAGCTCGGGATCGTCGTTTATGGGCAGGGTTTTGATATAATCAAGGTAGTCGATGAACATCGATGTAATTTGTAGCTGAAAATTGTCAGTGGAGAAAGTTTAATATTAGATTAATTCGTTACTCACTTGACGGTAGTCTTTGTTGTCGTCAAATATGTAGTCGGGATGAACTACGACTGAATTATAGTAATCTGCGAGCACATTCATCAGACATCGTCTGTCCCAATCGTCCGTCACCCTTCCTCCATAATTAATGTGACCGGCCGTATAAGTTAATACTTTGAACGGTATATCTCGGTATTCCAGCAGAAACATGTGCAGTTGAGATAAGCAAATCTTAAGGTCACCGTCAGTAAATTCGTAGGGAATGTTGAATCCTATTTGAAAATACTGCGGTAAAGTATATCGATCAACAATTATTACGTGGAACAAAAATTGGTAACGAAGTCTATTCAACTTAGGTGCCCTAAAAAAGGGCTTCACACACTTTTAACTGTAGTAGTTTCGTGGCGTATTTACCGAGCGGACCGAATTTTCTCCTCTCCAAAATGATTGCGTGAAAAAAGCACAACGAAAACGTCAGTAGTTTGAAGTGAACAGCTTTCGGATGCTCCGATTGGATAAAGTCCGTAAAATCGAATACTTGGTTTCTGTAAGCCCGCAATAGATTGGCTTTAATTCCTGCAATATTTAATTATACATATAGGATATTTGAGACTAAATATAGCATGTAAAAGGTGTGGACGCAAAAATGTAATTAACAAAAAATATGGATGCGTTCAATGGTAGTGACCTTATTTAGTCGTAGTTTAGGCATGAATTTCTTTTATAAAATGTTTATCAATCAAAGTAAAGTTTGCTTTTGCGAATTAACACAACGTGCTTTTTAATATTTTGATATTGATGTGTAATTTTGTCATTTTAATTTGATATTAGAGAAGTGATTAAAGTTCCTATGTGTAAACAATTTTCAGAAACGGATATTCTGTCGTTATTACTCTTATTTATTAGGATGGAGTTCTTCAGCTTCACTATATTTAGGCGTATACTTATTACACATAACGTGTGGATTAGTGTACCAGTTGGTGGTTCCACGGTCATTTTGCTGCCATTTTGCAAAATCGAAACGGGAAAGTGAGGGGACGGCGTCGACGTCAGCCAAATTCTAAAGTCCCGGTGTACCGAATCGGGTGAGATGGTTTCGATTATCCGCTCCAAGATGGGCATCCAACTAGGCGCTAAATGACAATTCTAAATAACGAGACAATGGTAATTTAAGATATTTTCCATAAGTTAATCTGATTTGTACTTGGAAAAACACCCACGAGCCCATTTCGAGACCCTCCTGGATCATTTTCTCCGCCCTAGGTCCTTGTCCCTGACCCAACGATATCGAAAACATCCTTTTGCCGAATTTCATCCTGTCGGCGAATTTGTATAAGTCAGCCGCAGGATCGGTGCCCGCCGAAAGGACAAAAATTAATGGCGTTGTGGGCCCGGACTCTTTAAACATCCCCATTAGATCGGTCGATTGAGGTTCGATGAATTGCTGGTCAAGGTTTGTGGATAAAAAGTCTTGCATTGCGTTTTTGATCTTGTCTGGGCGTAGACTTTTCAGAACGATCATCTTCTGGAAATCGTCGAAAGTTTTGTTGAACGGATGGGGAAGGGATTCCCTGAAAACAATTTTTGATTATGAACAACCTCTCTGTTTTGTTACGCCGACATGTTCATTTTAATCTTTTTATATACCATTCATTTCTTTTAAGAATAGTCGAAAATAAATAAATTAATAATAAATAAAAGACTCTTATCGTTAAAAAATCAATCACTAAAACAATTTTTTACCTGTGAGGCTCCAGACTCTCGAATATCGCATAGTAATATCCAATATTTGCACTAAAAGATTGCACGAAAGATTCAAAATTTGGCAACGCTTCCAGTGCCAGAATTTCATTCCAGGCTTTTTGTGATAGCCAACTCGGTGCCGGATTGGGGAGATCCTATAAAAATATGAACCGAGTACCAAAGTTTGTTGGCCCCTCTTGTCGTATAAATACTCTAAGGGGCGTGCCTCCGGCTAGGAAATGGTGCCACTCCTGGTCGTTAATTTTACCTTCGTCCATAAGAATTCTAACGCACATTAGAAACGCAAAATGCAGCTTATTTTTTTCGAATAAGCTGCGGCAAACATTGCTAAACAGGTTGAAGGTAAAATGTTCGTTGATTGTGCGTACTCGCGTGTTAGTTTCGGCTGTAAATGGTGACAAGGATAAAACTAATAAACTAACTACTAAAACTAAAATAGTTCCAAACACAAACTTGGTCTTAGTGAAAATCGTAAGATGGAAGAAAATATCTTGTCGAAAAAACCTGCAGCACAGAATATAGGATCTGAACTTTACCATCCTAAGTATAGGCGGGGTTTAACATCTCCCAGAATTTTTCAAATAGGTGTGAACGCTTCTGATACGAAATTGAAATCGTGAATTTAAATGTTGATGGACAACTAGTGGAAGCCTGTCAAGAATTATTACTATTAAGGTGTAAAAATATCGAAGCAAGGCTCAAAGAAAAGATAAATACTCTACCGCATTTGCTTACAAAGCAACCCAAAACATAAAATTCATGGCAAAAAAAATGGATACATGCTGTTCAATGCACCAAGTTTCAATGGAAAAATATTTACCCGAACGTTCAGTTCCGGCTATGGTGGAAATAAATATAGAGATGAACCATTCAAGCGAATACTGATACATCGGATCAACATTCGACAAATCGGCCAGACAAAAGAACAAAATCTGTGCCCGATTAGCCACCGGGATATAGGCCGCTCTTGTATTGTCTATATCTATTTGAGTAATTTCCGCGGATTCGATTTGGCCCTATCAAAAAATAACGTGCTTTATAGAACATGTCACGTCAGCTATTATTGCACTACGTTACCTTAATATCATCGCTTTTGACTTTGGAAGCCTCGAGGGTGATGATAAAATCAAGATCGTCCAAAGGAGATGCTTCAGAAGCGCTCAACTTGAACAGAATCCGATCCTCAATCTCCTTCAACTCGTGCCTCATTTGGGCTACGGAAACGACAATTTGACTCCTTTGTTCTTCTAAATCTGGACGTTCTTGCATCACGACCAATGCCAGAAGCTGATCTTGCAATCCTCTACAGAATTAGATGTTGCGTGGGATAAAGATGAGGTTCGGGATGCTTACGTGGGGACCACAGTGAAATTAACCAGGAGAACCTTAACGGCAACCTCCGGTGCGTAGTGAGGGTTTGGCAATTTCGTTGTTATGTAAAGTGTGAAATTGTCGTCATACGGTACTACGACGTCACCAAGTTTTACCACCCGGGTACCCCCTTGCATGTAAATCTGCTTCAGGAGAACCGGGTCCAGAGCGGGATCCAACTCGATCCCAACGTTTTCGATAAGTACTGGTTTGCCGAATCGTATGGCCGACTCCATACTACGCATAAGATCCTTGTCGGATAATTTGCAAATGGACAAACCTTGGGGTTTACCCTAGAGAAGATTTTTCGTAACTTTGCTGAACAGTAAATAAGAAGTACTGATTTTACCATATTCTTTACCCATTTCGTTGCCTGAGATTGAGGATCTATGAACAACGGCCAGCGCCTTGAACACGATACCAAAACGGCGTTTTCGGTGGACAAGTAGTCCCTTGGTAAACCGTCTAGTTGCCAAAGGCGTATTTTGATGGGCTCGCCCAGAATGCTGACTGCCGTACTATTTTTAGTATACGGTATACCTTGCCCTTCGATGACTTGACTCCATTGAGAATATAAACTAGTCCTGTATTCATCAGTAAAAGGCGTCATATACGCTACACAACCAGAACTGATCAATGTATCGCCTATCACGTTGACCAAAGCGGCTTCTGTGCTGTGTATAGTCTCCAGCCATCTGGTTCAAAAGATAGTGTTGACGAACCTATATGTTTTCAAGCTACTTTTCCGTGAAAGTGAAGCAAAATGATTCATCAGAGTTACTTCTAATTCTTATTTTCGAATAAATTTAATTTGAGCAACTTTACTTCTTTTGATTTTACCGAAGTATTTTACAAAGTGTGATCAAACGGCATTTAAAAAGCCCTATTCCCAGAAACATTTTGAAATAAAAGTTGCCCAAATATTTTTGATGAAGAATGATAACCAACATAAACCATAATAACCGCAAAGAAATTATCTCGGAATTAATAGAAAATATGTTGCTACATAATTTTTTGGAGTAGTGAACTATGTTTGTACCAATACTGTAACCACATCACACTAATTGAACTCACCTCACTCTTTCATCGGATAGACCATTAATAAGCCTGACTGCTCGTCGCATTCTTTCTTCGCACACTGCAATGCTCTGTTCCTTTTCCGCCTTAAAAGCCATTTTGGCGTCCAGCTCGAGATGCAGCCTGACAAGTCTCTCCTGAATTTCCTTCATCTTGGCCTTAGCTGCGGCCAACGCTCTTTCCGTCCGTTCCAACTCCTCTTTGGCTTTTTTGAGTGCTGCTTTTTTCGGCGCCACAGTTAAGTTGACGAAGTAGTATTTGTACATCGCGTGGATCCACATGCATAAAGACGTGCATGCTTTCGATACCTGAAGAAAAAAAACATAATAATCAACAGCTAATAGAACCAACACGATGCAATACCTTGGCGATCTTGGTGGGGGTGAAATCTGGATCCTTTACGTACTTCTTCAGTTTATCGACCATTTCCTCGGTAATGGAATCCCTATCGAAATACATCAGTGATGAAAGGAAAGCACCGGGATCAGCCAGCATGATCCGTCCCGGATCCCAGTAATCCAAAATTTTCTCGCCGGGCCTCAATCCGGGCAACTTAAATAGAGGTAAAACAGCTCGTTTAAATAATAGTATAGTAAAATTAAACTTTCTAGAACACGCACGTATTTTTTGTTTGTGTGTGGTCGTATTGCGAATAGACCACGCGTAGACCGTGCATTTGGAACTACCAAGAAATCCGAAATAATTCCTTTTTTTTTCGAAACCCTTTATGGATAAATGTAAAAGAAAAATAACATATTATTTTAACGGTGAATCGGAATATCTATATTGTTTCGTTGATTACAAAGGGAAGTGTATTTGTTTGTTGGTAATTCCCAAGAAAAATAACATTGAACAACATTTTAAGACCGTTCATACCAATTTTGATAGAGACTATCCAATGAACTCTGAAATTAGAAGAAAAAAAATTATACTTACTAACTAAAAAACTAACTAGCACAGTTTTTTTACTAAACCACTGCAACAACAAAGCTAAGAATAAAAAACCATTTACAGATGGAGAATTAGTGAAAGAAACCATGTTAGAAGCTGCTGATTCACTTTTTGAAGAATTTAAAAATAAAAAGGAAATAGTTTCAGCTATAAACACGTTGCAATTATCAGCACGAACTCTTACTGAATTGAAGTAATTGCGGAGAATTTGGATGCGGAATTAGCAAATGATATGGAAAATTGTATTTTCTTTTCGCTACAGATGGATGAATCGACCGACAGACGGGATAAATATATCACAATTAGTAATTTGCGCGAAGATGGTATTTTCTGATTTTACAACAAAAGAATTCCCTACAGTTCTGCCATTAATAGGAAGCACCAGAGGAGAAGATGTCTTTTCTACTTTTAAAAAGTATATAATAGATGTAAAATTACCTGTACAAAAATTAGCGTCAATTACAACAGGGGCACCAGCGATGACTGGCAAAAAGGAATTATTGCCTTATGTAGACAGGATTCCTTATTTCCGAAATTTATTTCTTATCATTGCCTCATACATCAGGAAATGTTATGCGCAAAAACAATCGGTTTTCAACACGTATTTTGATAGTAACAAAAATTATTAATTCCATAAGATCGGGAGCTATGCAACACAAATTGTTTAAATTACTTTTAGTTTAGTTCACAGATCTTCTTTTACATATTGAAGTGAGCAGAGGTAAAATAATTGAGCGGTGGATTATGCATTTGCCACTAAGAAAGGAATTTATTGCATCAAGAGGCGAATTTTACGAGGAATTAGAAAAGAAGAATCGGCTAATCGACCTCGGATTTATAACAGATAAAACGTTGAATTTGAATGAATTAAATTTAAAAATACAATGGAAAAATCATATCGCTGGCATGAGGGATTAGTGCATAAAATACATTCAAATGCAAGTTAGTGTTGTTGAAATACCATCTATTGCAAAAATCATTATCACATTTCTCAAATATAAAATATACTGTTGAGAGTTTAAATTTGAATAATGCTGCTACGTCATATTTAGAAATTATAGATAAGCTAATAGAAGTTTTCTTCTAGATTTGAAGATTTTCACAGAAGTAGAACCCGTTCTAAGATTTTTTATAAATCCATTCAATGTTACTGAAGATGATGTATATGTATGATGTATGACACCAACAAAATAAAGTTATAAAAAATCTAGAAGAAAACATTTATAAATTTTTGAAAATTTGGTACTGAGCTCCCAGTACGAACACAAATACTGATCTCAAATATTTATGAGCAAGTGTTTTTCCACACCACCCTTAACGTAAATTCGAGTTCTCGGTACGTTTTCTATTAAAGTGGTTTATCCAGCTTAGGAGCTTATGAAGAACTGAAGGGGAAACGGGCGCTAGAGTCGTAACCACTATCATTAGAATTTTGGTTCTCGTCACAAATGAACCTCATGCAAAACGAAAAATGAATATTATGTTAGTGCAGCAGATGTGGGGTGGTAGTCTAGACACAATGATGTGTGACTCCATTGGCCAACTAACTTAATAAATAGTATTGGCATGTTCTTGTCGAAAAATATTTCTGAAGATATTCGTTTTAAGAGCCGTTGGGGAAAACTTTAAATACAACTGAATGGGCCTGGAGAAATATTGGACACTTCAGCTTCAGCTGTAAAAAAGGAAAGCGATGCAGCTATGTTGACCTGTGCTGCACAATAATCTGCCCTAATTGTTGATTAAAATCCGTTACGAAGAACAATTTTGTAAAGGCATGTGATTAAACAGTTCTGCTTCATTAGTAGAATAGGCCTTGGGCTACAAGTGAAATCAATTCAATAGAAAACAGAGCGAGAGCTTGAATCTAACTAAAGGGTGGTGCAGAAACGAGTTCAAAGTATAAAATCGCAGATATCAAAAAAATTGACTTATGCCCATTAACACTGTGTTATGTAGAACTTAATAGAGTTAAAAGTTCTATAACATTTTCTCGTCTAGGAGACTCTTACTCTGTTGGGCTTAATATTTTTGACAATGCAAATCGCTTCGATGACGTAAACCACTCCGGCGGGTGGTCTCTTCATCGATCTGACCTCGATGATGTCGTTTTTATTCAGCGCTCTTAAACTTGCTTCGGCAGCTAACAAAGCGGGCATCGCCTCGTCTAAAATAGAGTATTTTTTTAAGTAAAGATATTTAAGATTATGAGATCGTTTAACCCAAATCCCTCTGAGCGTCTTCCGCGATAGCGTGAGTTTCTTCTGTCTTCTTGGCTGCCTCTTCCTCTTCCTGTTCGACTATCACTTTAGTTTCCTCGGCGGTTATCTGATAAGGAGAGTAATGGGTCGCTAATTAACTAAGAAAAAGTAATACAAATTTGCTTACCGTATCTGCTGCAATGACCGTAATCATTTCTTCAGCTTCTTTGGCGGCCGTCTCCAAGGCCGGTTTCATTTCTTCCAATTGAGCTTGCAGTACTTTTACTTCTTCTGCCGTACTGTGAAGTTTTCCCAAACCTAGAAAGAATATTGCGGAATTGGTAATATAAATGAAAAAAATTTTGTTTGTCATTTGCAATTTGAAATTTGTTCCCGTAATATTCTAAAGCGGAACCATGACGAAATTTATAGTTATTTTATAAAAAGTGGAACAAATATTTATTAAAAAAAAATACATTAAATTAAAACCAGGTTTACCAGTCTTTAGTCTACCAATCCCTTCAACTAGACTGCCTTTTCTTTTGTTCATAAGATCCGTATAGCTGGACAACAGCTCCAAATAAGACGTTGGCGTAACGTAATTATATCTCGAAAGCTCTTGCCTGTAGAGGTCGCTAGCTTCTACAACGCTAGCGTGCATGTATTGAAACACGACGACTATCCGTTGGAGTAAGTTCTCGGTAAATGTCGGATCTTCGACGTCTTTTAAAAATTGCAATGCCACAGACTAAGTGAAATCGAAATTGTAATGGGGTACTGTTGAAATCTATAATTAATTACCTGCAGAGCTGAGTCCGGCCACGGAGAGAACCAGTCTATTGTACAGCAGTTGACCAACGCTGGGAATTGTCTGAGCCGCGCACGAAACACTTCTCCGATGGGACTAAATAGTTGAGAAAACCGCTTTTCAAGTTGTCTTTTTTTGTGAAATTAAACTTTTATTATCAAGTTAAATTTAATAAAAAATGTTAAGAAGTGACAGCTTTTCTCATTGCTTTGGTTAGTTTTGGGTAAAATGCGACAAATTACGGCAGTAGACCAAGATATTTTTGGAACTGAAGTGCATATAGTTAAAATTACACAATTGATGACCTAATCATTTACTTTGAGAAAAAAGCGACAAAAAGTTTGCACCGATAGATGACCAAAAAGTGACTTAGGTTCTTTTTTAATTCAAGAACAAAAAAATTTCAACCACTCATTACCTCATAGTGATAACCGTATGTAAGTTTGTTCTGACTTCTTTTTGATAAACCGAAAACAAAATCGATTTGGTAGCAGCCAGACCCATTTCCTGTACTGTTCCCTTCATGCCTTGGTATATTGCGTCCAGTTCTTCTGCCTGATAAATGTTAGGGACGTCGCCTGAATTCAAAATATTATTTGTGTCTTCGAGGAAGGATTCAGATTTAATCTGAGGATTTTAATTCATTTATATTACTGCTTCAAACGGATACTTTCTAACTATTACCGACCTGGGTATCGGAAAATAAGAATACAGTTTCCCTTTTCTGGAGCCCGGCGGTCAGCATCAAATTTTTGATGTCCTCACGCCAGTCAGTTGGCCCGTACGCTTTAGTGAGTTCTATCTGGAAACAGCCAAATTCTTGGATGAATGCTGCCAATCGTGTCAAACTTTGCCTTCCTAAAGTACGTTGTCAATTATATTAAAGCTGTATCGCTGCATATGCATATATTGATACCAGATCCTCCCATACCAAGGAGTAATGCGTTGCTAATCGGTTGCCTCAAAATTCTGGCTATTCTGCAAACGTGCGATATGGCATCGAGGAATAGGACCAATTTCATTGGTTTGGTGCTCTGTACGTTATATTCATCCAGGTAGTAACTCAGTGACTCGCTCAGTTTTTTGAAATCCTTAATTTGAGTGTAAGGTCCCATATCAACCGTGGGATCCAGAAAATCTCCGAAAAGGATAGCTTCGTCACCCAGTACATCACGCGAGCTTAAACCATAATACGTGTCGATTTGGTCCTTGAGAACATCCTCGAACCAAGTCCTGTCGTCGTCATTCACCAACCGATCTTGAAAGACGCGACAGCATTCGTGATACCACAGACGCAAGAGTTCCTCTATGTCCTGCTCGAGTAAAAATTTTAACCTTTCGAGGCGCAAAGGCGCGATAATACCTGTAAGGTCTGCGGATCAAACATTAACATCCCTTGAAACACCTTACTCAGATCCCTCAAGTTGAATGTGTAGTGGGTTTTAGCTGGCGTAGGAAGCAACTCTTTCAATATTCGATGGTAGACTAGTAGCGTGGAAGACAGCAAAGCATCGTATTGTTCGTGTAGATCGACAGTTCTGTCTAGCCAAAATCTCAAAATGGTGCCGAAGATTTTCCTCTTTGTTGAAACATCGAATGGAGAAATATCAATAATTTATAGTTCAATTTGGAAAGTTACATTTGTTACAGTTTACAGGGTGTAATACTTTTTCGTAAACGAAAGAAGAAAAGAAAAAAAACTTAACTGTAATAATACCAAATTTGAAAATTGTATTATGTAGAAAATTGTATCTATTATAGAAGATTTAATTTATCATTGGATTGAACCAATTATTCACTGAAAACCACCGTATTATTTATTTTTATAAATGGTAACCACTTGAATGATAATTGTTTAGTCTTGTTCCCTTTCGCGATTAGCAATTGTCAAAATTTACTTTAGATGTTACATGATCTGTTCTTTAGTTTATGTTTGTATTTTAAATAAAGCCACTTTGTAGCTAAATTACTTGGCTGCTTTCCTCCATTTCGACGAAAGCTAGGTAATGAAAATGTCGCAGCAAACGAGCCGTAACTGGGTTTCTACCACCCCCTGGCGGACCCATCGCGGCCACAAAGTTGACGTCGATTATAGTTCGAAACTCTCCGATGTTCTTGCGATCGTACCAACCTAAATTGCAGACATCCGCATGAAAACATTACAAGAGAGAAGTATGCAATCGCCTTACCACCATAGTCCATCCATTGCCGAATGAGCTCTAAAGGAGGTTGTGCTCCGAAAACCTCCAAAGCGGGCATGTTGAAATCGTCGATGAAAAATATTTGCCTCTTTAAAACGGGCGGTCCGAAGACTCCCTTCCGTCGTCTATCCAATTTCGAATCCATCAAATCCTGTCAAGTTCAGATAATTTTTAGCGCTAATTATGATCATAAATCATGAAAACGATATATCTAGCAGTTTGAATGGTACTTTCATCAGCAAAAAATACTTGACTAAAATATTCTTTATAACGATAGTAACTATTCTGTTTACTCTACAGATTCTTCTTGTTCCCAAAAACGATTTTGGTAACTGCTTTTATCTCTCTCTCTCTTTAGTCCATTTCCCTAAGAAGGGATTATGATGCTCTTGAAGCAGTGCTCATGGTATTGTGCCATTGGGTTCTATTTTCATGAAGGCCATGGCCGATAATATTCTTGGTTTGATCTATCCATCTTTTGGGTGACCTTCCGCGCGGCCGTCTTCCTTCTACCTTTCCTTCGACCATTAGTAGTTGCAGCAAGTCCGTTCTTCTTGCAATATGGTCAATGAATGTTAGAAAGCTTCGATTTATCGCTTTTGACAGATTTAGTTCAGTATTTAGTTCTTGAAGAACGGACTTATTTGTACAGTGGGCCGTCCAGGGTATCCGTAACAGCCGTCTGTACGCCCATATTTCAAAGGCATCTATCCACCTTGCATCGCTCATCTTGATCGTCCAGGTTTCAGCTTCATACGTGGCAATCGGGAACACAATTGAATTCAACAGTTTTAGTTTGGCCTTTTTAGTGATCTCTCCAGATCTTCTTCTTCTTCACATGCACCGCTATTTTCAATTAAGGATCCCAAGTACAGGTACTTCACAAATCACAAAAAGTATCATTGCGCTTTACTACTGCAGCTTAGAAAGCTTAGCAAAGTTAATTTGGCTTCCACTGGAAAGTTCTTGGTTACTGCAAATATTTTTGGGGTGTGCTTGTTTTAGTCTGTCGGGTCGGGTCTCGACTATACATTACTGTTTCGGATACCGGTATTTCAAATTTTTGGATTACCTGAGTCTGATTAGAAGTCGTTCTGGCAGAAAAACTGAAAAAGTCGCAGATAAACTTCCGGTGCATGTGCTTGCTTAGCTTTCCGATGACCGTCAACGTTTTTCCTGTACCGGTCGGACCTACGCAGAGGGCGTTGTCTTCGTTCATTAAAATCGTCCCTAGCAGTTCGGCGTTTCGTACGTTGTCGACGGTTGGAATTTCAATATCTGCATTCACAACAAACCGTATAGTCAGACTAAACTAAATCAGTAATGTCGCTTGCCTGAATATTTCATGTCGACGGTGATTTTGTATTCGTCGACGTTCTCCATCCAGTTCCGCCATGTAGGCGTTGTGGGTTCTCCATCTGGCGTTGAATCAGTGAAACCACCGTCGTGCAACCTAACAAAACTTTTATCACGCTTGTGCGAGAATAATGATGGGTACTTGCTTATAATCGTAGCAAAGCCTCTCTTTTGGAATGGTGGGCGTATGATTGGCGACCGACATCTTTTCTCTGATCCATTTGTCAAAAATTACCCTGGAATCGTTGTCACACGTACAACCGATACTCCATATTACGTTGAAGACGGTCCAGGGGATCAAGAGTCTAGCTGAAAATTCATTAACATCAAGAGACATTATGTATGTGTTTAATCATTTCGCCATTAGCAAATATTATGATTAGAAGTTAACCTTGTTTGTATAGGGTAGGCCGTTTATCTTGGAAAACTACCTTATCTCAGAAACCATAGGGGATGGAGTCAAAAGTTACATATGAAAGTTAATTGGGGTATTACAAACCTTCAATTTATTTTAATTTTGTACATACAGGTGTTTCGTTTTTCGTGGGCGAATATCAACTTTCTTATTTTAAATGGAACCCCTGGTCTATAATTCTACATAAAATTCTAGACATGTTTTGTGTATAATGTCCTATACATAAGTTAACCGTTGTTGACATTTTTAATTTTTTATGCGGGAAATGACGTTTGCAGGACGTTAAATATCTGCCAATTTCTTCATTCGTTTCTTCAGCGTTGATTGTTTCACTTGAGTAAGTTTAGTTGTAGATCAAGGAATCGAATAACGGATTTCATAATAAATTTCGATACAAAATAATACAGGGAACGCGAAAAATAAGATTGAAAATGATATTAAAAAATAACTTTTTTTTAATGTGAACTACCCATTTTTATAATCTTGTCTTATTTAGCATCAGAAATTAAAGCAATTTCTTGTAAAGTTGCATATGCTTAAAATTTGTACTTTTTTAAATATTTCCTTTTAAATATTTGTCACAAATAATATGCTGTTGCCATGTAAGTTATATATAAGGAAAAGATTGATATCTTAGAGATTATATTAGAAAATTTCCATTAAGGAGGCGCCCAGAAAAAAAGATCTTTGACAGGATTTACCAACACATTAGAATATATATAACTTTGAAGAAAGAAAAAACTAGACGTCGTCATATTTTGAATAAAGAACAACTTAATATTTTGTTGCATTTTGCAGAGACCCCGGAAGATTTAAGCCAATTCTGGTAGAAACTACATTATGTATTTAAAAAACTTTTATACTGCCTATATTGCTCAAAGTCCCGGACATACTGAACAACGGTTACAATAATTATTATCCTTTGAAAGCTATTGATTTTTCATTGATTGATTCATTAACAAAAAAATTCACAAACTTTATCGTTTGCCCTTAGTCTTATTTTGTATAAATAATGCATACATAATCTTTGGATCTTCATATGCGCGTCGGCAAGATTATGACAACCGAATAAATAGACAAATGTTTAAGAGGAAATATTTGAAAAAGTAAAAATATTGGGTATATACAACCTTATATAAAATTGCCTTAATTTTTAATGGTAAATATGACAAGATTAAAAAAATATTTAGTTTCTATTAAAAAAAAAACTTCTTTTGGCCTTTTTTTAAATTTCATTTTTAATCTTAATTTTCGCGTACCCTGTATTAATATGTATCGAAATTTCTTATGAAATCTGTTATTCGGGTCCTTTGTCTACAACAAAACTTACTCAAGTGAAACAATAACCCCTTCCGAATGAAGAAATTGGCAGATGTTTTAAGTCTTGAAAACGAAAAATGAAACACTCTGTATATACCACATTAAAATAAATTGAAGGTTTGTAATACTCCAATTAAATTTTGTTTTTAACTTTTGGCTCCATCCCCTACAGTTTCTAAAATAAAGTAGTGTCTCAAGTATCTGTATCTGAGTCAATGTCCCCTTTAGGAAGGTGGAAACGGTTGTTTAGTTTGAAGCAGGAGAATTTATATTTTTCTCCAGTTTAATTTTTCCTTTACTATTCCTGTTGATTTTTATTGATATGGTTCATTTGTAAATTTTTATAATTTTTTTATGTGTAAAAAGTGTGTTTCGTATTTTTCCAATCATACTTACGCAAGAGTTCCAAAAAGGCGGAACTCGGAGGGGGTCTCTGATCTTTTCCGGATATCGGAAGCAGCCGAAAGTCCATTAGACGTAGAAACGATCCAAGCAGAGCTGAATCTACGGAAGTGAGGACTTCCTTTAACTCGTTCCTAACCAGTTCGATAGCAGGCAGCACATAGTAGTCGAATAAGTTGCGCAGTGTTTCGATATGAGGCTGTACGATCTAAAATTCAACCCATAGGAAACGTTCTCTATCAAAACCAATATTTTTACTCGAGGCAGGAATTTCATCCAACAGTTAATAAACGGTTGTAGGCCCAAAACTTCTGGCTCCAAATAGACCATCCCGCACCTGGAAACAGTCGCAGGCGAAGCAACTGCCAGATCGGCCACCTCAAATATCATAGTCATGGTGTCTCTTAGTTTAATTATTTCTCCAGAACTCAGGCATAGTTTTTTGTTATCGTCTAGAACCGTATTCATATTTTCGATCCAACCTGCGTCGACGGGACCATCAAAGACATACCACCTCCTGTCGTTGTTTGGAGCGTTGATTCCGATGCGGACCAAGCATGGTAGAATACCATCCGTCCTAAAATATTAACTTTTTCGAAATCTTGTATTTTGTTCCCCTTCTCCGAAATCACCTACCACTCGCGAGTCTGTGGATCGAACTCTCCATATAACTGACCCATGGTGATCGATTTGGGATTAAGGACATGTGTTTGGACGGCTTCGAATGGGTAACCGCTAGGCTGAGCCTGGCCCTTCAAAGAGGTCATTGCATCTTTTAAACACTCGTAGCACTGAAATTTAAATAATTATGCAAATAGCTCAATCGACTTGACGAATTTTCCGATAACGCACTTTGGTCTTGCCCGAACCTGTGGGACCCACCAGCATAAGTCCGTGCCTCACCACTGTAGTTTCGTATAGTTGAATCACCTTCTTTACATACCCTGAAAAATGAACGGTCTATTAAGGAAACTACGTAATATTTATTTTCTGCCGCTACCATCTACGTCCTCCAGACGTAGTTTAATACAAGACACCCTGATAGATTTCTCGAGGGCCCCATAGTCCACTGGCTCTTCAACCATTCTCGGAAATAAATCCGACACTATGCCTGGAATGCGAGTGCCAATTACCTCGATCGGTTTATGTAGTAAACGGGTTTACCGTCGAAGAGAATCAAGTCGTCTTTGAGAAATTTTGGGACGTTTACATCCCTGATAGCTCGGAGGCAGATTTGCTTCTCGTCCATATTAGGCTTTTCCCGTTTTAAATTGCCTGCCACCGCGATCACAGTTTTAACTGCTCTCATTCCGAAGTCGTAGTGATCCTAAATATAGAACAAAGTGTTAGATTTCGATAGAAGCAGAGAGAATTTTATTATAACCTGGGTGCTGAGCTGTTCAGAACTCAGCTTGAAAGTAGTAGTAATTTTGTTGGCCAGCACTTTGGCGTCGCTAAACCCGAAAGAAAACAAACTAATCTCGGCAATCAAACTGTAGTCAGGAACCATCATCGCCACTGGCCTGAATAGTGCCTTGAGATTATCCGGAAGTTCCGTTCTCCCGGCGTAACCTATCCAACGGAACATTCAGCATAGCGAGCATCGAAACGGATCATAGCTCGATCTACCTGGGTTCATGGTAATGAAAACTGCGCAGGACTCCTTCAACACTATTTCAGAGCCTTCAAAAATAAACCGATCCAGCCGCGCTTGTTGCGCTTTCTGGATGGTGGTGATCTGTTGCGCAACCACCGACAGAACCTGTAATTTAAACATTACCGCTGATGAATGATGATACCTGAAAATCTCAGTACCTCAATATCAATTCGGTTGAATTCGTCAAAGCAGGCCCAAGCTCCCGAGCTCGCCAAACCCTTGAAAAACTTTCCCATGGCCATGAAATCGAGTTGATCCGAACAATTGAACACTACGCATTGTCTCGCCATAGCTTTCGCAAGGTCTTTCGTGGTTTCGGTTTTTCCGGTTCCTAAAATGTCATTCTATAAGGAATGTTCAAAATGTTTACATTACGAAAGCGCTAACCCGCCGGTCCTGCAGGTGCACCTCCAAATTTTAGATGGAGGGCACCGGTCAAGGTCAGGTAGCATCTATCGGTTAGGGGAGTGATCACCAGTCTACCGCTGTTGCCGAGGTATTCGTAACCGTAAGGGAATTCCGCGTTTACTGCCCGTACACTCATTTCTTGTCCCGTCCAGTAGTACCTAAAATGTACGCCACTCAATTTGCCTCTATACAAGAAGCGGGAAATCAAATATTTGCCTCAGTTGACTAATCCAGTCGAAGTCGTTTGAGTTTACCGTGTTCAAATCGACTAAGTTTTGAGTGACATCCCTCGCGTGCACTTCGATAACGATTAGTGCGGAGAGTATTTCGCGCTGCAGGAACGTCAGCGTACTCTTTACCAAGTTCCTCAGCGCGTCCAAATTCACAATGATCACGTTCTGCAGGAAATCGTTTAGTTTATTCTCGAGGATGCCGTTTTCTACGCCTGCGGTCCAAAAAGTCTGGCTGCACGCGATCACTACTTGGCCGGGCCAACTCAAAACCCAAACTAAAGGAAAGATGAGGAACGAGTTGACATAGTAGGAGGCAAAATCTGCTTTAGTAAATATTAATCACTGTTAGGTATAGGGGAAATCCATCTACGGTTCAAATGTTACACAACAGGTATGCAATTCTTTTCTGGGAACACATTAATTTTGCAAGATATACAGGGTGACGCGATAGCGTGGCAAAGTACTATATTTTAATAGATGTTGCATAAAAGTATAGATAACGGTTATACAGGGTGTTTTATAAACAAAAATAAATTCCTTCAAATGTGATATTTTTGTATATTACGATTTCTCTTAAAAAAGATCCTGATTGTTTCCCAATTTTAATGCGACAATGCCAACTTATTGGAAAAAAAATTAAAAACATGTTTTTCGATGACTTCCTAATATTTTTCGATCTGTTGCCTTTATAATATTAAAAATGTCTAGTAAAGCATCTAAGCAATTCTTTCTAAACTCTTAATTTTCGTTCGATATTTGCAAACATACTGGGTTACCTTTTCTATCAATTTTCAGTATTTCTCTTAAAGCAGTGCCGAGAATCGTGCGTACAGTGTTCTGCATAGTACTCTCGACCACCAACAGCCAATGCTCGACATTGCCGGTGGGATAAATTGTGGGATTCAAATCTACGCATTCCCCTTCAGCCGAAAACATCTGAGTGATACGCAAATCCTCTTCGAATGTAAGCTAGGGAAGTTCAAATTGCAACTTCTAACGTAAATTTCAACACCATTTCTTTCACCATCGCGATATTCTCGAAGCACTTATTGAGATGAGGCTGAACCGCCAGTGGGTTTCTAGCATGTGACAAGATCTCCAACAGCTCATCGTCGCTGAGGAAGTAAAGCCTGGGAAATGTCACCCTTTTAGTCTCTAGATATTCCGATAACCCCTTCTGCACGATTTGAAGCACGTGATTTGCATTTCTGAGACTTTCCAATAACTTACGGTCAGCGCAATATTCTATGATCTACAATAAATTATCGTAAGCATCGGAATGGTTATATTCGGGCTCTCTAACAATAGGTAGTTCCACCGCATTTCTCATGATACGTCTCCATGTCCTCTCCATAAATCGGTACTTTTTGCTTTCGATAGGCAATTGTTTGATTATATCTTCGCTAGTAAAAATTGGCTCCATGTACATCCACTGCCTAAAAATTATACAATGGCCAATTGCGTTTATACAGAAACAAAATCGAAAGACAGAAATGGGCTTACTTTTGGACATCGATCCACTCTTCTATGACTTCCGACGTCACTTTTAATTTCTCCTCCCACTCGCTAATTCTGTCTTCGAATGGACCTTTGAAGGGACTAAATGAAATCTGTTGAGTCAAGACGATGTGATCGTCAAGCATTTGCTGGATTTCTTCAGAAACTTTCATTATATAGGTACCTGAAAAACGTTCAAAAAGGCTTATCCCTGGCGGTCAACGATATTTTTCATCTTACCAGTAGCCTTGTATGGAGAGATTTCCAAAAGATTGTTCTGCCATTCCAACATCATCTTGTCGAGCGTTTGTTCAATGGCGTATTCTTTGCTAGCCACTTCAGCAATTTCCCTAATTTGCTTTGAAAAGCTCTCCACTCCAAGATCGAGTACCTCGTGAAATGTGGTCGTGGGTGTCCACACGAGTTGGATTCCTGACAGTTTATCGGAGAGTAGTTACGTAAAACGGTTGACGATATGACTTTTACCCGTCTCTTCAGATATTTTATCCCAGTGGCGCTGGCGCATGCCGGGATTCCTCAGACTCATCAGCAGCGGGATCAGGGGTTTGAAGTTATCGATTTGATTTCGAATTTCGATAGCGACGTTCTAAAAATGTAGTAACAGTACACGTAACAGTTTCGATGAACAAGTTTTATCAATTTAATAGTCTTTATAAGACCTCGTGTTGAAAAACCTTTGGGAAACCATTTGAATCGTTTTTGTTAAATGTTAAACTGTTCTCAAAATTACTTTTTCGTATATTCTTATTTAACTTTCCTTATCAAAAGAGGACATTTTTTTAAATATTTGATTACGCAACGGGATTAAGAATTGTGGTTTCATTGACATTCTATTTTGCGTTGACTGCGTATTGCGAGACATTCAATAGTTAGTTGTTGCGTGTCGCTTTATCTTTCTCCTAAATTCAAGCTATAGCTGTAAAACCAAGCGTTAAAAAAACTCTCTCAGAGATTTTAATGACATGCAAGTTGCTACATGTGGGGTTCACCCTCCTTCTATCCATAATTTAAACTTATCTTTTTGTAGCGAATCAAATAGTCTAATATCGATAAAGATCTAATTGATATGATAACGTCTGTGATTACCTGCACAGCCTCGATGTCCGAGAAAATCCTGATAAGACGAACCGCTATCTTATACATATCTGAAACAGATCCTTCTATAACATCGGCATCGATATTCATTATCGGATTGTCCATCCAAATTTCATACGAACGCATCCAATCTAAAATATCACGGTCAATATTTATTAATGCTACAATTAAGGAAAATACCGGAGGCAGTCGTCCATAGAATTTTGTACAGTTCAAACTCTTTTATCAGCTTGTTAAGCGTATCGAATGGGATTACTGGCACCCCAAATAGCTTTTGCCGTTGGTTTAATAACTGGCCCATTTCCTGAGCTTCCTTCATAGCTTTCCATACCTTGCGGATTTCCAGCGCGTACTCGTGAGTCTAAAATTAGTATTGAAACTTCACGGGAACGTCAGTTCAGGATTTCTCTGCGACTGCTTGTACCCTCGTCACGTCTTTATATCCGGACATATTCACGACTTGGCTTGTCAAAACGTGAATTTTGTCTTGTAACGCAAACTCATCGCTAACTTGCAACTTATAGAACCGCTCTTCTTCGTCTTTTAAATATAGTTCAGTGGTTTCTGTCTGCCGGAGCACTTTCAGAGGCCAGCCTATAGCCTCCCACTTATTCTCAAAGTCCTCGTTTTGTAGCGGGTAAAAGAAATGGTCCAAAACTTCGTATTCCTGAGAATAAACGGCCCTAAACTTGAGAAACTTACTCAAACTTACCCAATGTACAATCAAGTATCTACGACACTGTTCGTCCAAAGACTTTACTGTTAAGGGAACAGTTTCCAACCAGTCCCTGAGCTCAAAAATATGCTCGATATTGTTCGGTTTCACCGAGAGCTTGACTATTATGTTTTTGTAGTTTTGAATTATCTAAAATTATTGCTATTAGTACACAGAGTTTGCAAATGTTGCAAATTACAAATTCAATGCAAATGTTGGGACACCGGGGTCGAGCTTTAACGGATAAATAGTGTTTTTTAAACATTATCTTTAAAAAGGGAGAATATGGTTCTTTTGTATCGAGGACTGCTGACAAAATTTGCAAAATTTACATCTTCAATGTGGCCCTTCATCCTAATGGCGAACATATCCAGCATCTTGTTGATAATTTCTTGCCGTTTATTGACAAGCAAAACTTTCAAATATTCAACCAGTACGTAGAAAGGCCCTATATTAATGGAGTTAGGAAGAGTCCTCTCCAAGCTCCTCTTTAATCTCTGCTGTTGCGAAATATCTTCTTTTACTTCGGCTGCTGATCTTTCCTCTTTCTCGTAACTCCTATGAAATAAATGATATGCATGCGCGGAAAATATTTGTTCAAATCAATCACTTTATGTAATCGTTTACGTTTAGCGTAAACAAGCTGACGTGGACATTAAACTCCTTAGCGTAGGCTTCTAAAGGAATGATCGATTTTCGGTATGCATTCAAAAACCGCCTTCTGATGCTGTGGACTTCATCCGCCAACAGTCCCACCGAGGAGAGAAACAAATCGGGCGGAAATCGCAAATTGGGTAACAAAAGCGGGTGTACTTGTCGTATTTGGTGAGTTTGTCGGAGAACTTCGTCAAAAAGATTGAGCAGTACTTCCTAAAATCCACATTTAATATATGAAACGATAGTTACTAAATTCAACCTGAAATTTTTCGGGCGGTGTGCTATAGAACGCGCATTTTTCGTTCATCCTTAGTTGCATGCTAAATATGGGGGAAACTTTCGATATAAATGGACTGTTAATTAAGTCGCTTCCCCATGCGAATTCGTCTTCAACTTGCAAACATGGAATGCATGGTGTTTCGACTAGATTTATGAACGTTTTTACAGAATTTTCCACCAACACTCTCAGTGTGTGCTAAAAATTGGTCCATGTTAAAATACTAGTTTGGATGACGGGAAGTCGAAGTAACCTGCATTCTGTACTTCACCAATTCCATAAACCGTTTGAGTTTGGATATTTCGTACGTTTCGTAGTTTCTTAAGTTGACGTCGAACCAGCCTTTGCCCAAGTCCCCAATACACATCCTTATGTTAAACACGAGAGTTTCTAACCAATTATTTTTGAGTTGTTTCATAATCTATATGCAGAATATTTACTTAGTATTATAGAGTCCGTAAAGGGTTAAATTATTAACAAATATCTATAACGGTCGACTTGTACCCTGTCCCTTAATTAAATATACGAAACTGCATGGAATAGGGATTGTATTTTGCAATCTTCTATAAATAATATAAGCTATAAGCTATAGCTTATCATAAACCTTGGTCTATATAGAGCATCAAATCACAACCAAATAGAATGACTAGTTTATTATGAGAGGATACCTTATCTCAGAACCTGTAAAAAATATCCAAAAAAATTTAGAGACAAAAGGTGTTTTGTTTCACTTCCACTTTTAAAATATTATATTGTTATATACAACGGGTATTCGCATGTTTGTGGAGAAGGAACAACTTTTTTATTTTAAATGGAACACACATTAATTTAGAAAAAAAAAGTTTTGTCATGTTGAGCAGTCATAGAATTTTTACCAAGGGAAAATGTTTTATTACTAACATTTCTCAAATACTGAACCTTACAACCTTAAGTGTTAAATACGATAAAACTTAAATTTAAATTTTTAATTCTAGTCTAAAAAAATTGACCCCAATATATATCAAAGGCAATCAATCGGAGAAATAGATAGATATATTAAACATCACTTTTGACATAAAATTCAAATTATGCCAGAAAAATTTGTCTATAATTTTCAGAGGAATTTCAAAATTACCTAATATAAAATTTACTTAATTAAAATATGAAAGTTGTTATTCGTCCACCAAGATTCTATATATAAAAATATAGTATCTAATTGTTTTTCTTCAGTAAAGGTAATTCTCGCTTTCGTCCTGGTGTTTTTTGTAAGTCACGCACCATTCTACTAAAAATCTGTTTAGTGGGTAATCTGCTTGCTGCCAGTACTCCCGAAGAGTCAAAGCTGGACTTTTATTATTGAGAATAAAGCACTCATATAACTGTAAACGCTATGAAGCCATATTTTTGACAGTAATTTATTTATTTATTTATTTATTTATTACAAAGGTGCCCTAACATGAAGAACTGACTTCACAATTTACAAGGACACACTAACAATTATACCATTATTTAATTAACAAAGTAAAACTTATAAGTAAGTACCTACCTATATCTACGATAAGCAGAAGATAAAAAAAAACAATAACAATCAAACTTACCAAGCTAAACCAAAACTAACACTGTATATTAAGTGCGTGAATTACAAAAAACAAATGTGAAAAAATAAGGAAAACAAATCAAAAATTAAAATAAATTTATAGAAAAACCCTAATTGCTTGATTTCGAAACGAATTAAGTGATAACGCAAAGATGTCAATGTGCGAAAAATAATTATTGTAATGTCTATGTAAAAGAGATATTGGGGAATTGTTACCTACGTTTGTATTAAATCTAGGCACGTAAAATAATGAAGGAGTTCTTGTTATAACGACTCTGGCATTGAAGGATAGTTTTTTCAACAGTAAAGGACAGTCAATCCTACTATTAATAATATTATGCAAAAATATAGCACTGGAGATAATTCTTCTAACAGATAACTTCAGTATATGGTAGAAATTAAGACTAGCTTCATACGAATGAGTTAGTAAGTTACGGTTAAATCTAAAATTTAAATGGAAAACAAACTTTTTTTGTATTCTCTCGATTCTGTCTATATATTTATGATACTGAGGACTCCATAATAAGTAATAAAATAAAAACGCTGAAATGATATTTTATCAAGAGCCTGTGACATTCTCGTTTTTTTTTGTTTATCATGGCCTTCTTCACTTTTTATTCGATGTCAAGTATAACAAAGCAGCAAAATCGTCATATAAGAATATTGATTTGTCAATCTTTCGAGAACTATACATCTTCAGCATAGACAACCTTTTATACAAACATACCTTAATTTTTAATGGTAAATAAGATCAAAGTATGAAATTTGGAGGTTTCCATTTAAAAACAAACTTACCTTAATTTTTAATGGTAAATAAGATCAAAGTATGAAATTTGGAGGTTTCCATTTAAAAAAAATATATTTTTCTTAATTTTGTATTTAATCTTACTTTTTGAGCATACTGTATTATTAGTTATCTAAATATTATAAAAATTCTAGTAAAGTAGGTTCTTGTCAACAAGGTATTAAACCCAAAATAAAAAATAAGAACATCCTTTTAGAAAAATTGGTATTTTTCTTAGGGCCTGCAAATAACATATTTGAGATAAAATCTTAAATATGTCAAAATCCATTAGATATAGATGAACTGAGGTTGCTTTTAACCGGTTGAAAATCCATTTATCAAACCAATAAGAACTAAAAGTTCAGATTTTCACGAAATTATATATTTTGACATGACAATTGTTTCGATAAATCTGAACTTTTAGTTCTTATTGGTTTGATTAGATATAGGTATAGAACATTATATACGAAATTTTCCTAGAAACTTGAGTAGAATCGAAAAATGTAATAATATATAGAATATTCCATTAAAAAAATGAAGTTGTGTTTGCCAGGCAATGCTGAGTGCCCCGTATATGCAAAAATATAATAAAATAAAACTTCGCTTTAAACCAGATGACTATTGTATTTAAGATTTTTTCATACACCTGTATATTCTGAGGTAAGGTATAGGGTTACGTTATATTGGCCACCCTGTACAAAGATGGTCTAGGAAGACTCGACACGGGCGTCGGCTCTCAGTATCTCGCATATGACTACGAACCCTAATAGCTTTCTGACAGGATACTGTCGGCTAAGAGGATACTTTTAGAAGAGGAGGAAACTCCTATTCATAAAGTACACCATTTCGGCTTCTTACAGATACTTACAATATTAGATGTCTGACTTTGTATAGCATTGAACTCATCCAAAGTGACGTACTTAATGCCATAATTTGCCGAAAATAGGGACATTTGAGCCATTTTGAGGCATTCTGCAACGACGTGGGATATTGCTCGATAGGTTTCCGGTACTACGTAGATCTGGTACCACGAATAATATTTCCGTTTCTTTGCAAAATCTTCAGCATTGATCCCTGTGGTAATCACATCTGTCCAAATTTCAATATTGATATTTTCGTTTAAATGTATTGGTGTTTCGCACTTACCGCGCTTGGGCGATAATTGATACTTATCATTCGTAATAGTCCTGTAACCTATTTGTTTTGCATATGCTCCTCTAAATTTAAGTTCGCCCATGGTTCTTTGGTAGGATAATTTAACCTCATCCTTAAGCTAAATAACATGTTTTGAATTTCATGAGCGTTAAAGGCAACCAAAATTAATACCGTGTCATAACGATTCCTCAAAATGTCTTTCTTTCCAATCATCGAACTTTCCACCAGACCCATCATCTGTTTGACTATATTTTCTTCCATAGTTGGAATGCCGATAAGCGGCATGTTATCCACAAAGAACTCATACCTACGTTGTAGAACCCGTTAATCTGTTACTGGCCCTTTTTATTACTCGTTTTTACCTTATTGTTTCTTCAGCAATCCTTCGTAAGTCCAGTGCCGCTTTCAATCTCATGCCATAATGCATCGGATCCTCTGCTTTGAACATAAAATATATTCTCGGCAACCAAAAAGTTCTTTTTAGTCCGTCTAAAGTCAAAACTTTCCACAGCATTTTCTCTTTATCGTATTCGCCGATGGCAACATCTACCAAGTGATACAACTCATCCGGCGTAATATGTTGCTCTATATTGGGGTTGGGTACGAAAGCTTCGCCTGGCAGAGGATATTGCACACCCTCCAAATTGGCGTTTTGTAACCAGTTTTGTGGCGATCTTAAATATAAAATTTCATGTTCGCATACGACATATAATTATTGTAGCCAGACCTAACATCGAACATTTGATCATCGAATAGTTCCAGTGGGAGGAAGTCTAACCACGAACACAAACCATAACGCTCAAAGTCGGTAGCTACCTCTCCGGAGAGTAAATCGACAGGAAGCAAATCCCTTATCCGAATACCTAGTTTTTCCAGAACTGTTTCAAGTTTCTGTTCCTGTAACAATTGTGTAAAAAAAAAGATGGAAACAATCATACGTACCTGATAAGCTCTTCTCCGTCTTTCGATGGCGACGTTCCTCGTTGAAGTTCCAGGATCTACTTCATGCTGATGCTGAACTTTAGGTTTAAATGTTGTGACCGGAAAACTCTACAAAGTATTGGGAGATATTAGGAACTTGACCGAACAAATATATTTGTCTAATTTAAGATGTTTAATCTGAATATACGAAAATTCACAAATATTTTTGAAGCTTGCCTCACGATTTAGCAAGTTTTGGCGGTTTCATAAATTGGTGTTATAAAAAAGGGAGAAATCTAGTTCACAAATAATTCAAAAATTATTGTATAATTCTTTTTGTTACGGTGTTCGTAAATATGAACAGTAAATCTGACGATTCTGAACCACTCTATCTTTAGCAGAAATATATCTAACTGAGCTTTGTAGGGTTTATTTATATTTTTTGCTAACCATGAATACTGTATACTGGGTTGATTAAAATAAAAGCTCTTTAATTATTATTGTCCTCAAATGTTACTCCTGGCTATTTTTGCCTCACGATACGTAACCCCTACCGTTGTGGAACACTAATGTTGTTAAATATGTTTTTTTTTTACATAGATTATTGCATTGCAGTAACTGAAACTTTAACACAAATGTTACATTCCACATTAGATTTCTCTTTGTTAATTTCAATACTTTTTTCATAATGTCCACTTACGATGTCACTGTCTTGGGCAAACGTCATCCATCGCTCTGCTGGTGCTAAATAGGCTTGTTTTTGGGGCGCGGGTAAATTAACAAAAATTGGTGCATGTTTTTCGGTTTGTACCTGCCATATTAATTTGGTTTTCTTAGTCGCACCTTTAAACAACAATTTTGACTGTTACTTGGGATTAGCTTTTTAGGGGGCAATAATTGTCTTACCCTGATAAGGATTTTTGAGTAGTTCCAAGCTGGGTAACAGTTCCGAGTAATATCCTCTACCATATTTTCGGGATTTCTTTTCGTATTTGTCCATAATTGAGTCGTTCTGCTTTTTATCCATCGCAACGCTTTTTGACACGATCAATGTTACTTGTCATATATGTTTGTCATTTGGGCATAGTCAGTACAGAAATAAAATAGGACTGAAAACATGATTTTTTACAATATCGGAATTAACCACGACATTTATTGGAAATCAATTCACTTACTTGTTTTTGCTTAGCTTTACTTAATATGCGTACCAATTTGGTCAGCACTCTGATATGTGTATGGACGATATATTTCATTTTTGTAGCTTCAGTAGGGTTTTTCCTGGATTTAAGGAAAATGCTTGAAAAACAGTTTACCATACTAAAAATGTTACTGTCATATATTTTCTGTTGGGATGTTGGTTAAGTGGTTTTTGCTTAGTACACGAAGTTGAGTTACAATAACCCAGAATGTGTTCTTAGCTAGTAAATAACGGTGATTTAAGACTGATTTACAAAGCGGTAACCCAAGTAGGTTATGTTACTCCTAGTTTTATAATTATTATTAACTAATTATGATACTTTCTTATTTTGTTTGTTTATGCTTCTGACAAAGGTTATAAGTATGAACAACGCAAACAGTTTTAAATTTTAAAGAATTTTATTTTTTAAATGTATTAATTATTCAAAACAGGTAAATTTCCTCAGTATGCCATAATGGATGCTGGCATCAGCGGAAGAAGTTTGTCCAAATTGCCTTTCCTTTTGTCTTAATAAATGCCATGGGAAGAATCCGGACTTGGTTTTGGTTTGGCCAAAGATTTTTTGTGAAAAAAAATTCAATTCTATGAACTCATCATCAAACGAATAAAATAATGAAATTGCAAATCCGGATAGCTCTAAATTTCTTACCTTTAGAAACTGACTGCCTTTTTAAGCTAGTTTATTTTAAACAGTGAAGAACAATCTGGCCATTGAAAAAAGTCATTGCAATTCATTTGCGTTTTTTTCGATTTTCAGCATAATCCTAGAGAGTTCTATTTGTGTGGCTAGGTTCGAAATAATAGAACTTCATATATTCAGCACTATTTTCTTGAATATCTATAAAAACACTTACCTAAAATTACCGACCAATCAAAAGTAATTTTTGATAAATTTATACCTGAATTTATTGGGTCGGATTCGTCTCGTAAATAGTCTGAATCTTCATCATGCGAAGAAAAAACTTTGCTTTTCAGGTATTTTAGGTTTTCATTATTGCCTTTTTGAGTATGCAAAATATTTATTCAATAATGATTATTATTTATTTAAATAGTCTGTAACGCTCTTTACTCCTACCTCCGTTTGTAGTTTGCACAGGTTCATCCGCCGCAACTACAATTTTATTGGAGAAAATTTAGTATTTCGCTTATTAATCTGTAAATTGGCACTGCACTAATATATTTGGTGGGGGTGTCAACAATATTTCATGTATCATATCTTCTATTGTTGTTTGAAAAATAGTGACTTGGAGATCTAGTAATTTGAAAGCTATAACTATAAGTTCATTTGAAAATTTGAATCAATTTCTTTTTGGGTCTCAGGTGATTTTAAAAGAGTTTGGCTTGCCGAGGTATTATTTTCTTCACTTTCTAATTTACCGTTTTGAGTGCAAAGGTGCGCCATCTTTTTCCCGCTCATTTTATGAGAACGTAATTGGTATATAATCTGAGTCATTAAATCTAAAATAATCAATTTATTTATTATTCTAACGGGTGATTCAATAAGAGTTTCCACATTGCAATCTGAAATATTTTTGAAACGCCACTGTATTTGTTTATTATCATATGAGATTTCTAACCTCAATATACAACTGAACAACGTGTAAAAATTGTGCAAGCCTATTATGAAAATGGTCGATCAAGAAAAAATGCATTTCGGGCTCTTCGTGAGGACAATTTGGAATGTGGTTCAAAAATTGGAGCAAACTCGATCTATAACTAACCTCAAAGTCCCTCAACGTGCTCGTGCAGGTCGGTTAGATCAAAATATTGCTATTGTTCCCGAAAGTCCAAATAACTCAGGAGTTGAAACCTCGAGATCATCAACATCGCCGCGTGTTTGCCGAATGGATACGAGAACAAGGGGTACATTTTTCAACAAAAATCATCTTTAGCGATGAGGCACATTTTAACGTTGGTGGCTTTGTAAACACAAAGCAATGCATCCTCAAAAAGTGACTTTTTGGTATGCATTTTGGGGCGGAGGAATAATTGGCCCTTTTTTTTCGAGGATAATGCGGAGAACGCTATTACGCTTAATGGTGTTCGCTATCGAAACATGATATCTGATTTTTTCTGGGAGCAGTTGGAGGTTTGATTGAAGATTTGTGGTTCCAACAGGATGGAGCCACTTGTCACACATCCAGAGAAACGATGCAATTGCTGCGGGCCAAGTATCCTGGTCGGATTATCTCACATAACGGCGATATCAATTGGCCGCCGCGATCATGTGATCTTACTCCCCTAGATTTTTTTTTTGGGGTATCTAAGACGCAGAGTGTATAGACATAAACCAAACACTATTCCAGAGCTGAAACAGGAGGTTAGACTCGAAATAGCCGCCATAGAACCTGAATTGTGTCACAAAGTGATAGGAAATTTCAATAAACGAATTACGTCATGCGACAAGAGTCGCGGGGGTCATTTGGTATATTTTTATATTCTTACGAGTTTTTTTTATTATTTTAATGTGGAAACCCTTATTGAATCACCCGTTACAACGGAGCGCGAGCATAAAGTGGTACTTTTTTCAAGAGTTTACTTTGCAGTAGTTATTATATTGATTCACTTACCTGTAAATTATTTACTAAACAATCGAAAATTGTTTTAATTAATATTTTTATATTATTATTATTATCCAGACAGCACTAAAATAGCAACTACGGTGTAAAAACAAAGTCATACATGTAAAAATGGCATCAGCTTACTATGAAAATCACAGTAACTTTGTATCCTAAACTAGAGTAACGCAACTATAGCGTAGTTACTCGGTTTTAATTTAGAACCGTATTTGGTTTTGGCTAAGCATATGCTACAAAATTGTTAATTACGGCGTCGGATAAGTTTAAGGACAAGGAAATTTAGTTTATTTTTACGTTAGGAACAACAAAGTTGAAAGGTCAAATAAAGCCAGATATTCCATTTTCGTCAGTTACGGGGTTTGGCTTATGACGGCAGAGCACTAAACATTATTGAAGTTGATGCCATTTTAGAGGACTAGACTAGAAGACTATTCTTCATCTTCTACATGTGTGTATAGACAAAGTGATTTTATATGGTTTCATTTTATTGCGTTTGCCTCTTATTGACATAACATACTTTATATTATATGTAAAACCTATGGAATGACTTCCAGAGGCTAAAAAATAGTTTCATTATCACCCCAAATACTCCATACGTGCTGGTGCAATCTCGGATCGGCATTTGGGTCGTCACCAATGTTTTGTGGAGGTAAGGAAGTATCGTTATACTCCCCTAGTCAGTTTAATAAATAGATTTTTCTTCTTTTTTTTTTATTTGCATAAATAGAATGATTATCCAAGGATGGACTGGATGGAAACAAAATATATTATTTAGTATTTTACATATCCTGGTTTAATTGTTATTTAATTCGAGTTCTTGATAATTTGGGAAAATAATACTTACACTTTGGCGAGGTTGACATATTCGCATGGATCATTACTGATATTGTACAGACATACATCCTCCGGAAGGCAAGAACCTTGATCAAAATCTCCGCAAGAGATTGTAGCATTCCCTCGGATTGCGTTTATATCATCTAAATCGACTGCCAGTTTTACCGAATCGAGGGCTTGATACGCGAGACTGTTTTCGATTACACTTAAATTGTAACCGCTCACATTTCTACCAGAGGGACCAAACCAGCCGTCCCAACTAATATCGTTAGATCTACCTAAAATACAAACAAATGAAATACGAATTCATTTTTTATTGATTAAAAAATAAAATTAAAATTAAATAAACCCACCCGTAATAATTTTGTAATCGCCTATTCTCAAGCCTGCTTCTCCCGTAGTTTGGTCAATGTTAAGCAGGATTTCCGATCGATTGGAATCGACATTATTCGTTAGAGTGTCCCACATGCTTATACCATCAATTTCCGATAATTGGCTGCAAATAAACTACTGGATATTTGAAATTTAAAAAAAGTTATAACGATTTCACCTAGAATTCCCACCAGCTGCGTCTAGGAGAGTAGGTAGCCAGTCGGTAATGTGCATCATCTGATGAGACACCCTCGACTTTTCTTTAATAAGGGGACTCCATACAGCGGCAGCACCCCTGACGCCACCTTTACAATTTCTTATATATAATATGTTGTACTCGAAATAGTTGTTTTTATTAATAATATTTCATAAATCGTGAAAATTTGTTACCAAAAATAGTTTTTTGATGCTTAACGAACAATAAACTAATTTGATAATTGAAAAATGGTGCGAATATTTCTTAGCATAAAATGAATAATAATGATATTAGCAGAGTTATTTAAAGGATGCGAGGGAGAGGGAGATTTCATTGATATCGCTTACCTTCCCATAAAGAATTTTTTACACCTTTCAATGGCCAGTTCGAAGCTTCACTGATATCATACCCTTCGGCCGCACCTCCATTATCCGTGCTAAATATTATAATGCTATTTTCCAGCATTTTTCTGTCTGCCAAGGCTTGCATAACTTCTCCTACAGAGTCATCTAACAGAGTTAACATCGCTAAAAAGTAAATTTCAAATTATAATTCTAGTGTATATAATTAATAGCGTCATATTAGGTTCTGTTTCAATACGAACCAGCGAATTTCTGTCTTCGATAATTATCCCAGTGATCGTCGGTCAGGTTGGCAAAACTCGCAACCACGTCGTCTGGAGCGGGTAACGAGTCGTAAGCTGTAGCCGCATGAACCGCAGCATGAGCCAAATACAAGAAAAGCGGTTGGCTGATGTTGTGGTTTTTGATAATTTTCACCGACTCATCAGTAAAAACAGTAGTAGAATATTGACCGTGGAGATCAAAGGCGACGCTCATATTTCTGCGCATGTCGTAACCCCATGATGGCGACGGATTAAGCGTGTGGCTGTAGTAATGATGACCCCAATTGTAATATCCTGTAATGCATAATGGAAATAAAAAATAATTAAATAATATTTTAAGGTGTAAAAATTACATATGAGATACATATTATTATGTCAAATATTGTTAAATCAGTTTACTAACTACTACTACTACTACTACTACTACTACTACTACTACTACTACTACTACTAATAAAAGTTGTAACTGGAGCCGTAAATTCCTAAAATGGGAAATCCCGATGTTTTCTAAAATTACAAAAAATGAATTTACCTATTTGGAGGCGTACATTTTTGCACCCTTTTTGTAAAAATTCAGATCCCAAAAATGTAGTTTGAAATTCTTAACTTAGAGGATCTATGTATTAAACTCTAATTCACCTCAGTAGTACAAATTTTTGATAATAGAAAAAACAATCAAAACTTTCTGTGGTACATCTGTCTGCCTTTAGGTATTTAACCTGTGAAAAATGAAAATAAGAGGAAAAAAGAGCGGAGAGTCAGTTTGATGTCGAAGTAAAAAAGAAAAGTGCGTTGTAACTTTCACAAAATGAATGAATTTATTTTGTGCATGCAACCGATACAGAGAGTAAACTTCAAATAACAACTCTACCCAACTTTAAAGTTCAGTCAAATTTTGGAAAATATAAAAACTTGTACCAGAAATAGTGATTTCCATATACATATTTTTCAAACATCTCGTAGAATACACCACTATTTGAACCGAGTCGTCCTATCTTTAACGGTATTTCAGTAACGCAATTGATGTAAACGACTGAAGCATTTACTTTTCCAGATATATCAATACAATAGACATACGGTTTTTTAATTGCTGCTAATAATTTACTTCCAAAAAAGGAACTTTTTGTGACTTCTTGTTTCTTGTCCATTATCGATGCACGCGTATCACCATTGTTGAAACAACTTCTGAATAAAGGCTTTGGCACTAGATGTCCCCCGTTTTCTGGTTTCAGAATTTTTCCTATCGCTTAAAAAGTTTTTGGCAACAAAATAACCCCAAAATATCGAACAACTGCTCAACTTTTGCAGGTTGCAAGTAATTATGAACTTCTACCGTCTACCAAATTTAAATCAATAGCAGCAAATTTTGGCCATTTGCATTTTTTAACATAGAGTGGATATCTAGGTCACCCTGTATAATATTTACAAAATATAATACAAAAGTTTTGGTTACACCTCAATGTGAAAGAAACTGACAATTGAAACCTAGTTTTTAATAATATATTATCGTAAAAATATCTTTTGTAAATCTTATTCAATTATTTTTTCTGTGGAACTAACGGGTTTGAAGATGCACTCATGTGCGAAATCTCAGCCTTCTGGCTGTAAATTTTGGACACAGAGAGTGTTTCATTGCGAAAAACGAAAATCGACGAAAAGTGTTTTCTGTACTTACCACTGCCGAGTTACAACTCTGTCACGGATTTGAAATCACTGAACTGAACAGAATCAGAAATCGAATTTTGGGTAACAATATTCTACACAAAGGCTCAAGAAAGAACTTACGATGAACACAACATACGCACCCAAATGGGAATCAAACCCCCTATACATCGGTGTGTATTCTTTCTTCCAATAGCCCAAGTGCCATTTTCCCACCATATGATTCACGTAACCAAGTTCCTTTAAGTACTGCGGAAGCAATTTTTCAGATAAATTAAGTCCCCTTGGTTCGGCAGGTAATAACACCAAGTGTTGCATCCCTAAATGAATAACACATTAATTGATCGTCCCAAATGGTTTTCCGGCGAGGTCACTTGCCGGTGTGGATCGGATATTTTCCTGTCATAAGTGCGCTTCTAGAAGGTGAGCATAGAGAGTTGACATAATAGTTATTTAATATGACTCCCGAGTAGGCCAATGCGTCGATGTTAGGCGTAGGTATTTCGTTGGAACCATGAAAACCTACGTCGTTCCATCCCTAAACGAGAACGTTTCAAGAAGAATGAAAACGATTCATTCTCTTTTTGAGGTCTGAATCTACCAACTTACCAGATCATCAGCCAAAATAAAAATTATATTAGGTTGTTTGGCCTCTTGTGCGTACGATATAATCCCGGTTAGATAGACCAGCACATAGAAATTTCGCAATAAACTCAGAACCGGCAATCGATGCATCGCAGATTTTTTAAAAATGGACTAGTAGCATTAATTAGTTTTTTAAATATCGATGGAAAATTACCAACGACTTCAGTTAACTTTATGCGGGTAAAAATATTAGCAATATTAGAAACTACTCGATACTGAGGAGGCATGCAATGGAATGATTCTTAATCTCATCTTGACACAAGGCAATGTAGGCAATGTAGCCTGCAATTCATAGCTAGGATCACAACATGATCGTTATAGTGTTCATTACAATAATAGAAACATTGAAAAGAGGAAGGTTGAACGTGGATTTTGTTGCTAACAGCCATTCTTAAGTGTGTTTTGCACACGACATTATACCATTATCGATATAGCTGGGGCGATAAATGGTCGTAATATTGCTTAGCTCAAATTTGCGGTTGAATTTCAGAAAATTTCCATAAATTCTGCTATTTTTCCATCGTTTCACGTGTATGCCTTAATAATAAACCCTACGTATTTCGCACAATTATGATGAAAAAGAAAAACAATACGAATTAGGTATTTTGTAAGTCATGTTTTATTCCAATTGCTAGATTGTTAAAAGCGTCTAATTATCGGGCAAGAACTTTTGAAATAGAATTTGCGAAATCTTACTTATTTAAAATTTATGTAGGAAAATATCTGTATTGTATTCAGTCTACAATTTTGAATAATAAATAACGCTCGTTAGCTGTTGTTCAACTGGTAATTCTTGACAAACTGCAATATGTTACAATTATTGTAGTCAAATTCATCTCGTTGTTTCAACCATTGTGAGGTCAGAGGTCAACACGACAATTGATATATGACATTAGAGTTGTATAATAGGTTGGATCTTTGACTCTAGAAAACAGTTTTGAGACTTTTTCAATATTATATTTGGATATTTTTATTTCCTTGAATTCTTTGAAACTATTTACAATAGATTCTGTAAGGTTTTTAATGAAAGGTATCTTTCCGTAACAGATCCGAACACCTGATTCCTCTGTTGGACCGTCAAATGTGTTCGAGTTATAGATTACACATTTGAGCCGTGAAAGTTTTGTTCAGGATTATTTAAAAAAGAAAATCAATATGTTTGTCAATAATAGATAAACAAAACTTATACTTTCGGAGCGCGAGCATTGAAAGTACCAAGTAAAATTCATTTTTGTCGCATTACACTTTCAAGAAAGTTAGTATTGTACATTTCTTGACTTAAGCTGACATTATACGAATAAACATAATTGTAAAACGAAATACAAAATAAAAGCGCTGCTCGCTGTAGTTAGAGTCAGTCTAAAGTCGTCTCTGCTAAAAAAACTTCGTCGGGTCCAGACGGGCGGAATCACAAAGCATCTGTTTGACATTTTTAATTCCGATAAAGTTCACAGAATTTAACAATAAATCTCAGCAGTCTTACCTTGGAGGAATAACGACTGTACTAATGCTATCAAACCCAAAATACATGCTTTTAGGTTCTTAGAACGAGAGCACAAACAAGGCAGCTTCTTCAGAAAAAGAAAATAATTGGTTATATCATATATATCCTCCTCCTCCTAAGTGCCGTCTCTGCTGAGGTTGGCGACCATTGTGGCATACATTTCTCTGTTCTGGGCTTGATGTATGAGGGCATTTCCATCTGTGTGGGTCCAGTCCCGGATATTTCTCAGCCATGATTTCTTCTTTCGGCCTATGTTCCGTCTACCCTCTATCTTCCCTTCCAATATCAGCTGAAGCTGTTCGTGCTCTCGGTGGCGCATGATGTGTCCGAGGTAAGCGGTTTTACGTATTTTAAGGAGCGTGTACAAGTGTGCTCGTGTGTTCATTTTACGTAGCACCGTCTCGTTAGTGTGTTGAGTTGCTGACCCGAAGCATACGTCGATAAAGCCACATCTCGAATGCGTTGAGTTTCTTGATGTCGTCTTGCTTAAGTGTCCATGTCTCACAGCCATAAAGCAATAGAGCCCATACGTAGCATTTAAGTGCTCTTAGTCTGAGAGTTATTGATAGTCTCGGATGACATAGCACTTTACGCAGTTGGTTGTTGACTTCTCTGCCCAGGTAGATGTAGTGTTGCACCGTTTGAAGTCTGAGACCATTTATCATAATGTTGGTTATGTGCCCCTGTGAGGATCTGTCAAATACCATGGTCTTGGTCTTAGCGGTATTGATTTCCAGGCCCATTCTTGAGCTTTCTTCATTTAGGATGCTCATCAAAGTTTGCAGTTGTTCTTCCGAATCTGCTATCACCACGGTGTCGTCGGCGTACCTTATGTTGTTGATAATGTTCCCATTTATTTTAGCTCCTTCGGGGCAGATCTGTGATGATGCTTTCACTATAGACTCCGCGTACACGTTGAATAGGAGTGGGGACAGTATGCATCCTTGTCTTACCCCTCTTTCTATATTTACGTATTCGGTGTTTCCAGTCTCCGTTCGTACGCAGCCCTTATGGTCCCAGTACATATCATATATATAGTACATATCATATATATAGTTCAATATATATATGTATATATATATATATATATATATATATATATATATATATATATATATATATATATATATATATATATATATATATATATATATATATATATATATATATATATATATATATATATATATATATATATATATATATATATATATATATATATATATATATATATATATATATATATATATATATATATATATAGCACTTTACAATACCTTAGGGTATGCCTAATTTATTTTCACAAATCGATACCTCATTACAGAAGATCCCAATTTTTGTACAAACACACCGAGGAATTCAGAGTATCAGAATTCATCGCAGCAACTAAGAGGAGAAGGAATATTTGCCTGGAGTTCATGAATTGTTCTTAAAGTACTTCCAGAATTAATTATTGAAGAGGTTGTATTCTTAAATAATTTTTTTAACAGAGTATCACGCAAAGAAACCAGAATCCCAGAGTTAGACCAGACAGAGATGCAAATATTTTTTCATCATATAGACTGATCAGCTTGACTGCTTGTGTCAGTTCCAGAGAATTCTTCCCGAAACTCAAGAATAATATTTGGAAGGCGTGGGGTAATGACAGGAAGACTATTGGTATCTATAAAGGTTTGGTTGGCGAGGCAAGTTAGACTTAAAGATGAAAAAGATTACAACATTTGTTCGTCTACGTAGTGATGTGGATGTCATTTTAGAAATTCACAACTGCTTTACGAATGATTCGCAAATCCTAACTTTCCATTACCACTTCATATTAATTATATTCCATTTCATCCTGAACCCTTGAATTTGGTAGCTAGAACCGCCTGTTGTTTTTTAAACGCATGCATCTTGAAATTGTAATTTCGTTGCTTCCGAAACTAATTTTCTTGGAAATAATTCCTTAGATCGTTTCGCTCTTCACAAAGGCATCCTTCCGGGGCCCACTACACTTGTCACCATTCACCGAGAAGCTGACCAAATTGCTTGTGTTGCAGTGCAAAAAAAAAACAGTAAAAAAAACTATGTAAAGGGAGCCAAAAAGCCAGACTGCTTTCTTCATATAGTTTAGCTTTAGAAGGAAAGATTCAAATAAAATGAGAATCGTTACCACTAGTGTTAGGATTCTGGATTTTCCTTATACACATACAAGTTATTATATTTGTTGTATAAAGTTTGCATAAAGTTTATCCATTAAAGTTGATCCATACGGTTTATAATCAGGTTCCAGCTTTTACAGATATATTCATTGAAGATTACATTACATTGTTTTTGTATGTAAATTGAACGCTGCAGGACATTAAAATTTCTGAAACCTTTATTTCTTCATTGTCTTGTTCGTCTAGCTGCTGCAAATAGAGCAGGTGCCAGTTTTCTAGAAAACTTTATACACTTGTGTAAAAAGATTAAATTTCTTTTGATAAAGTTATCAGAGACTCAAACAACCTAAAGAAAGAAGTCAGAAATGCTACCAAAATGAGTAATGGTTATAGAAAACCGCAGTCGGAAAAATTTACACTCTCTGCAAAGCCCAGGAAGAAAATAATATTACTTAAGGGCCAGATGAAAACACTGGCATCTAAACATGAAGCCGAGTTAAAGCAATGCGAAAAATGAAAATTTCAAACATTCTGTGGTAGACGACAAAAACTTGTCTATAAATATAGCTTTAAAAGCTATCAAAAAATAACGGAAGAGGAGTGGAAACCTAAACTCTTTCCAAGACCCCTAAGTAAGAACGGCCCAATCTGGGAAGCACCTCTAGATTGTCACATCATCTTACCATGTAACAAATCAGTTGATAGTGATTGTTGGGAAATAAGCAAGGCGATAAAAGCGGTAAGAGCGACATTCTTGAACAGAAGAAAGACATGGCAGAATTGGCTCAAATGTGTCAAAGTCTAGAGGAGAGAGCGGCGGTGTCACTAATAGCACAAGGACCAGCTACTACCCGATCCTTATGGATAAAGCAGAAACTTAAATTGGCCACGATAACCTAGAGATGGACCCAATGGATACTAGATCACCGAGTGGATGGCAAATATCCAGCCAGTTTGCCAAAACAAAGGCAACTAATCAGAGGCACGTGAGCTACTCAATACTCATGAACTGGGTAGTCAGTGAAATTGAGTTGAGTTGAGTGACTATAAATGCATTTAAAATCGGAAATCAAAAAGGAGATAACACTGGGCCACTCGAGTTCTTGGAGCGCAGACACAGCTAGCTCAGGGTCGAGCTATTAGTTTTTAGTGATGAGATTATATGACGGATACCGCCACATACTTAACATTGTATTGCATATATACTGTAAACTGGTTTGGTTAAAATAAAACATTGTCATTATTAATATCATTAAATGTTACTTCTTCTCGATTAAACTTTTTCGAACTCGCTGTTACTGTTACTATTACATATTTTTCGGTTTGTACTTGCCTTACCCTGATAGGGATTTTTGAGTAGTTCAAAGCTGGGTAGCAGTTCCGAGTAATATCCTATACCATATTTTCGGGATTTCTTTTCGTATTTGCCGTCGTGCTGTTTTTTA